GCGAGGAGCGATTTTGTGGGGAGGTTACAGAAGACAAAGTATGGCCGCATTGGGTTACGACTCCTTGCATCCTAATGTGACTCCTGCGGTTTGCATTTGAATGCAATTTGTGGCAAAAGCCGAGATAAAAACTAAGGCAATAGGCAAGGCTTATGGGCCAAATGAAATGTCTGGATAAACGTATGACAATGGAACCGAATAAGCCCTAAACTTTTAGAGTGGTTTTGGGAAATTGTTCTCAGGCCATTTTGATTTAGCAGCATTTATTCTTTGGAATACAATAAAAAGATGGAAAATTTAAATATAATTTGGTTATGGCAATATTTTGTTGACTTTAAATATATTTTCTTCTAGATTTTAGTATATAATGTGTAGATTAAAGCTTTCTGAAGTTCCTGCAGTTCAAGAATTTCAAATTGGCAGTTAAACTTTCGTGAAGTTATCTGCTCATAAATTTGAAAAATACGCTTATCCCATTCCACTGAACCGCATAACTCGCGTTTATGTCTTTATTAACGAACCGCAACCGAAAGTTGCCAAGCAGATCCAATAAAATTATTAATGACGACTAATAAAAAGAGTGAGTATAATATTCGCCGACCAGCAGGCAACAAAACGATTAACCCAAAAGGGTCTTACCAACTGCTTCCGAAAAGAGCCTAAAACCAAAAAATATGCAACGAAAATAACAAGAAAATACTTGCTGTTAACGATAACAAATCGCCGACGGTTAACAGGCGGCATTAATTCCCATTCGCGGAGGCATTTATTGGCTAATTAAAATGGGTGGAAGGAAAATAGCCAGCCAGTCCTAAAAACCAGCCGCAGGCTATCAAGACAAGGAATAACGATGGCAATTAATAATTTTTGACAATTTACACAACATTGCGCATCGGCGGAGATAAGAAGTGAAGACTCCTTGGGCCACAACCCTTTGGTAATTTGTCCATTGCGCTAATAATTTCATCAAGCGTTTCCCACTTTCTTTGTCTTTAAATTTATACTTATATTTAACTGCGCACAAAAGGGAGAGCGCTTTTCTTTTTTTCTGATTTTCCTCTGCCGCTGACAACTTCAAGTGCGGTTGTCCTTTTCATGGTTTTCCCTTTTTTTTTCAAAAACAAACCAGCTGCTCCGCCCTCTTGCCATTCCATCAGTTTGTTTATTCGCTTAACTTGCGTTAAAATAAATCAATTATTTTAATTCACGATGACAACTCGCGTCATTTTCAGGCCAGCGTTTTTGTTCGCTGCTCTCTTGACATGGGATAAGGATGCTGAAAGGCGGAAAAAGGATGGAGTAGGGAATGTCATGCATAAAATGTCAATAACAGATATGAATACGAATGATTGAAAGCGAAAAGAGGTAGTGGGGATTTATTTTTGGGGCATTCCGCTTTTATGCGTGTGGTTTTCAATTTTGAATACTGGATAGCTAGGGTAAAATTCGAAACCATGGAATTTCAGTGTTAAAACTAGATTCAGTTGATAAGTAATCCTGTTGAATGTAAATCCAGTATGCAAAAAGTCGTTAAAGCACTCAAAAATTTGCCTGCCACGCCTTGCTCAACACTTGCCGCCCAAAAGCCCCACACACATAGATGCAGGAAATGCCATTTGGCAATTTCAATGGTGTATCCTTTGGCAAACACGCCGAGTTCGAGGGAGATGGCGCACTAAAAGCGCCTGGATATATCCATTTCGCTTTTTGGAGGATTCTTCGCGTGCCATGTTAAGAGCTGCAACAACAATGGTAACAGCCATTGTGTATTACATGCGTGTGAACCAAAACTCAGACAAGAGGATTTCCCATTTCCCCCACCCATCCCCCAAAACATTTCCATTCACAATCAAACACATTCACAATCGCAAAATGGAATTGTTCATTTTCCAACTTTGGCATTGGGTAAGCACTTTTTGTGTTTATTTATTTAAGTGTTATTTCGTTTTACTTTCTGTGTGCGTGTAAGTGTGCGTGTGTGTTGGTATTGGAGTTGGTGTTGGTGTTGGTGTCTGCGAAAATTGAGTTATAAACAAGTTTTTTGAAAATTGTTTAAATGGAAAGAACAGATTGAATTTCCTCCTGTCGAGGGGCGTGGGCCACTTGAGCTTATGTCAAGTGGAAAATCGTTTTGTTGTAAGTGTCTGTGCTTGTGTGCGTGCACTATGAATATATTTTTGATCAGCCTGATTTATTTATATATGCAAATCGCCTAATGTGCTCCAAAGGGTTTCCCTCTGGGATATCGTCCCACTTTAAAGTCGCCTAATTTTGTTACAAGAGTGTGGGGTTCCTTGATTGGCTGTTTTTTCTGGCTTCACTTTTCATGTTTGCAGTTGGGTGTTTTGAATTGTGTATTAATTTTATTGGCCTCATCATTTTGATACAATACTTCATCTAGTGCATTTAAATGTTTGTAGGAAGTGTATTCAAATTTTTGTAACTCTTAAATTCGTTTTTATAGAATTTGCAAAAATACTTTTGCAATTTTTATGAGTGTGCATTAAGCTGAATGCACCTTTTGTACTCACATGAACTAAAATTTTTATTTACATTTTTCGGAATTTGTGTAAACTAAAATAAATAAAAAATCTTGAAATGCTGAAAGAGAAACACCAATTTTTACTACCATTAGTTTGAAAAGCCACCCCTAGGATATTTTCCCTCCTTTATTTTTGCTGCAACTCGTTGAAAGCATTTTGCAGTCTGCATTCAAGTGAAGCCCTTCCACTGATAAGCTGGAAAATTAAACGAACTGATATCTTAGCACTACCCCTTCAGATCCCCCCTCTTTCTCCTCGAAATGAGCATTGTTCTGGCTGCAAGTTCAGCACTTGGTTGCCACAATTTATGCATTTTCCATGGCATTAACGTTGAAAGGCGTCGCAAATGAAATGCCATTCAAAAGGCTTTCGCCTTCCAAGTTCGGTTCGGCTGCTGTTGTCTGGTTAGTTGGGTTACCTGGTTAGCTGGTTAGCTGGCTGCCACACGAAAATCCTCCTGCCCAAAAAGGTCACGCAAATTAGTGCGGCAACAAAAACTCTCAGCGAGGGAAAAGTTTTCCGAACAGGATAACTGCCAACTCTGGACGCAGACTCCATCTCGATGCTGGTTGTAATCCTTGCTGGAGAAAACTTGTAAAAGTAACTAGATAACGCAGCGACCAACAAACTAAGTAGTTGTAAGGGGGGTTGAGGGGGAGCCACAATAAAACCCCAAAGGAAATTCAGGAAAATAAAGCATCAGCTGAACAAGGTTATCGACCTCACTTGAGTTTCGATAATGATACCTGGTTAACTCATCGAACTTTTTGATTATCTTAATTTAAAATTGTAGCTCCCTAATTATAACAGATTAAACTACTTTCTCTCTTCGCAACAAATTGCTTAAATATAAATAACTTTTCCAAAATATTTGCCACATGTCACAAACATCGGTGAATCCCCCGCGCCGTTGAAATAATTAATAAGCTAATTAATCTATAATAACGTCAAATAATGAGCCAATATTCGAGCAAATATTGCTCCTGGAAAAACCCAGGCGATGGAAGCTGCGACAGCAAAGCGGGGGAAATTCGAGGCACACTGTGTGTGAGCTCATTGAAATGCCATCATTATCGTGCTCATCATCGTTTACATGGCAAGTGCCTCATGGTTGCATGCCGCAAACGCTGCCGCTTCATTATCCTTATTACTCCTTTCGCTACAGTTCCCCAATCTGCCCATCTCGGTCGGCACATGTGTGTGTACACTGTGGAAAAAACCATGACAACATCCGGTCCAAAATGACAACTTTATTTTTCTTGTTATAATTTTTTTGTTGCCAATATCAGCTTGATTAAATTAAAATAATAAATGTATTTATATATTACATTTATGGTTTACTTTATAGTCAAATATAACATTATCCTTGTTTCGATATAATGCTATTACCAAATAACTGTTTAAAAATTCCCAGTTGAAAGGTCGCAGACAGCTATCACTTCAATCATATATTTTTTTATTTTAAATGCACACTAATTTATTAAAAGTTTTTTGCTTTGTGCAGCTATCTCACTTTGCGCCGGCGGGTTATTGTTTCCATTTTGATTTATGTCTGGCATCCTTGGGCTCCTCTTGGCCTCGTCTACTATTTTAACGTTGTTAACCAAATTGCATAAATTAAGTGCGTTCGTTTGCTTGAGTGGCTCTGGTTCTGGCTCTAGTCCTCGGCTCCCGTGGCCCCTCCCTCCGTCTCCCGATCCGTCCACAGTGGATATTTATGCTCCTGCCACTAGCTGAGTTTCGGCTCGAAGGCTCCCACGTCCCACGTCCTTCGTCCTTCATCCTGGCTGCATTTGTGTTGCTAATGTGCGCACATTAGACGCACATGCTGCCTGAATTGTGTTTGCGTTTTCCCTCGTCGCATTTTTTCTCTCTGAAAAGGGGAAATCATGTAAAGCAGCTGGAATATTTTATAATTGGCATGTAAATGCATCAGCTTATGTAATCCTTTCCCAGCTATAATGAAATATTTTTATATTATTTCTGCTTTGCCTTGGTAAAGTTCTGTGTGCAAGGCTAAAAGTCATTAAAATTAAGTTTGAACTAATTGTTTCAACACGAACGAACTCATTAAAATGTGAAAATAAAGAGTGTGGTATTTAAATATGTTTTAAGCAGGATTATTTTTTAAATAATAAAGTAACCACATGTGAAAAGGTAAAACCAACTAAAATAGCATCGATATGCAGTTGGCTAAGCTTAGAGACTGCGTGACTAGTTATTCGTAATTTCCCGCTTGTTATTAGAATGAATGAATATCAATTGCCCTGCACCAATTATAGTTTCCCCAATCCACAAAAATATATTGTAAATATTTGCTTTGCCATAGTTTAAACGGTTTAAAGCTGTATAGAAAATTGCTATAATTCCGGCTCAATTATTGTAATAATATTTACTATTGAAATATTGACTATATAAGTGCGCTGCTGCCTAGAGTTGTAGTTTCACAGTTTTGCGATGAAATTGCTTGTGCTTCATTTGTTATACTTGGGCTTTATTTGCCTATGTCGCTGTCAGGAGGACGACGATAATGTCAGAAGGATAATGAAGGAAATGGAAGTAATGCCGGAAATATTAGATGAGCCTCCAAGGGAGTTACTGAGGGTGAGTTGCATTGTTTTTAAAGTAATAAACTACAAACTAATGGTAAAGTTTAGATAAAATATGACAATACCTTTGACATTGAGGAGGGCAAGTCATATACTCCGAGCGAACTTAAATTCCAACCCAGACTTGATTGGAATGCGGATCCCGAGTCCTTTTACACCGTTCTTATGATTTGTCCTGATGCTCCGAACCGTGAGAATCCCATGTATCGATCTTGGCTCCACTGGTTGGTGGTTAATGTCCCCGGATTGGATACAATGAAGGGTCAGCCCATTTCGGACTACTTTGGACCTCTGCCACCAAAAGATAGTGGTGTTCAGCGCTATCTTATTTTGGTGTATCAGCAATCGGATAAGTTGGAGTTCGATGAGAAGAAAATAGAGCTGAGTGATGCCGATGGACATAGTAACTTCGATGTGATGAAGTTCGCTCAGAAGTACGAGATGGGAACTCCTGTAGCAGGGAATATTTTCCTATCCAGATGGGATGAATATGTTCCGGAATTGATGAAAACACTTTACGGAGTCAATGAGTAACTATTTTGATGGGGTTCTGAGCGGTTTCAATGTTCCTTGGTTGCGTTTATAATTATTATTCTTCTTGTTTATGTTAATAAAGTGATTTAGTTAGCTATGAGCATTCCAAACCCCTTTAGCCTTTCTGTTTTCAAACTCTGATTCATCTCTAATAACAACTAGTTAAGTATCGATGCCTCGGCTGATTGCAGAACTGGGTCACTTGAGATGTTATCCAACTGCAATGATACACCTCACTTTTTTCCTCAATCGCTTTGATTGACTAGCTACATTTTCTAAATCCCACAAGCTCTTGAGCAACAAGAAAAACAGGAACTTCAGGCGGCTTTGCACTTGGCACAAAACTCACTTAAACTTTGCAATCATGATACGACGTAATGTTAGATTTCCATTTATATAAACTCGAACAAGTGTGAAAGGTGCAACTTTTATGGGGGCCGGAGAAATGGAAAGCCGCCTCGAGGGGAGAGTTTTCCCCAGCACTTTCCACTTCCTCTCCGGTTTCCACTCAAATAGTAACTAAACGCAGTCGAGCACAAAGCGCTTTTTGCGGGCAATGGCAAATAACCTTAAGGTTAAGATTACAAGGTAATTTGATTCAATTCGAGTGATAGGCGTGCCAAGGCAACAACAAACGGCCCAAGATGGAAACGGAGATGAAGACGGTTTTCCACACAGCGTAGGAGAGGGGAGTGGAAAGTGGGGAGCGGGAAGCGGGAAGCGAGGGGGAAATACCCGGTGTCGGGCCAATTTCCCCAGTTTCAGTCGGATAGATGACAGTGTCAAGATAAGAATTGTTGCAGCTTTGCTTTTGCACCCCTCCAGCCAAAAAGTCGTACCCTCTTTCACTTTTTTTTTTCATTCCTTCAATGATTTTTTTCTTTTCCGGCTTTCCTTTTGTCGGTATTTCTGTTTATCAGTTTGTGTATAAATTTGCCTTTATTTTGACATATTTAGTGGCGGTTCCAAGACAATTGTCTCGCCGATAAAAAGCTCAGAGATCTCGCTGCGATTTGCCTATTACTCCATTAAAACGGCATACAAAATGGCAAAAGTGGCCACAATATCCATCTCGAGTAATTGGATTTAGTTGGCATTGAAAGGAAGTGGATAAATGGATAATAATCTTTTAAATATAAGTTTGCTTACTTACAAGACAACAATGATGTTAGATATTACTTGCAAGTTAGTCTATTTAAAAAGTCTTGTTGGCACTTATATCCCTGGAAATCCTGCATCATCGCTGATGATAAACCTATGATAAATTCGCTCATTCCCACATCCCATCTTTTCGAGCTTAGCTCTAATTTCACGCTCGCCTGGTCCCACTATTATAAGAAACAGTTTTTTCCACCAAGCTGCCACCGGGCGTATGAGTAATCTGGCCAGGATGTCCCAAATCCCCGAGCTTTTTTGCTAGCCGACCCCTCGATGTCCTCCACTTTTTTTGCGGAAAAAGTTTCCTTCTTTATATTTATCCCATGTGACAAATTTGGTGCACAAGATTTTCGCCTCGCATAATAAATTATGCGTTGCAGTTGGTCGGAAAAAAGAAACTAAAAATTAAATTATCGGAGGAAGAAAATGAGGAAAAACGAAAGAGTTAAAAGTTTGCCATCGTTCGTGGGAAATGAAAGTTTTCCGTGCACGCTTTAATTTAATAATCGCTGTCTGGAGTCGTTAAGTCGGGGCAAAGTTTTTACGACTAGTTTACCGGATTTGACATTACACTTAATCGCTCAAAAATGCTTTTAATTGGAGCGTTGTTTGCATGAATAAATCATGTAATAAATAAACAAGCCGGCACACTTGTTGGCCATGCATTATTTATGCCCCGAATCAATAACTGTGACACTTTGGCCAGCATTTCGCATGCATGGCAATGACTGATGCAGATGAGCACTAGCTGGCCGCACAGGATAACAAAGGACGAAGGGGGCTGAGGGACCAACTGTCCGATCCTGCAACCAGCAACCTGGCTCCTGTCACACAGTTAAAATGTGATAAATTCCATTAAGTGACAGAGAAACGCACACGAAATGCAAACGTAAACTGTATTTGGGCTTAGAGATGAGCGAACAGGTCGACATCAGGCAATAAATTATAATGATTTGGCTTACATAATGATGAACAAAGTATCCATTTACTTCAAATCTTAAATAAATCATTTGGAAAACAAAAAATCTAAGAAAAAATCAAGAAATCACAGAGTTATTTTAAGATTTTGCAAGGATTTTTAACGACAAAAGTATATTGCAAACTTCCATCTCTATACTGCTGTGGATAAACATAGAAATGTTTTGAATAGACAGGCAAGAAATCCATTTTGTGCGCCAAATCAAAATGTACCAGCCAGGAACAGACACATACACTCTGGCGCACTTACCCATACAAACACGTCTATAAACTGTAAACATCAAGTTGAAAGTTGCATGTTGCACATTGAAAGCCAAAACTGACACCAGCAGACATTTAGTACGCATCGCATATTGAAATTGTAATTTGATTTCTGCCTTTTGCCCCCAACTGTCCAACTTTCTATCTGGCTATATCCCTCTGTGCCAGGACCTCTTATTCTCTCCAAACTTATATACCCCCGATTGAGTGGTATTTCCAAACCAGTTGGCAGGCCCAAGAGGTCCTTGCCCTGAGTCCTGACAGTTGCGTATTTAGCAACTGAGTCAACTGACTAAAACTGGGTCAAGCCAATAACAAAAGGGTTGGTAAATTGCAAAGGGACTCTAATGGTAGTTTAGTTACTAAAAATTTAAGATCACTGTGTATATTTTTTTCAACAATATTCAAAAATTCTTGATAAAATTTAACAGAGAAGAGAATTATGTGAGTTTAAACTATTTTCTGAAAACATTGAATTACATGGAAACAATGCCTCTTTTTATCAGACTACAGCACACCTGGGCCATTTTACTTTAGCGGAGCTTTATCCATGGATCAGGACCCTCTTCAGAGTAGCAGTTCGCTGCACTTGTGTGCTGACAAAGCCTCTCGGGGCACTTAAATCATTATTTAATTTGAATTTAAAATGCAGCAAGGAATTTTCCACGGCTGTCGCTGTTTGTCGACTGAAACAAAGCGCGGACAAATAAATAAAATAAAATGGCAAACTCATTACACTGCCGACTGCTGGACTGCGACGACGAGGATGTTAATGATGATGATGATGATGATGATGATGTGGCAACAAGTCGGAGTCGGGCGTCACTTTCAACAATGCCCCATGCACGCGCGTATACACACAGTGAGAGCGAAAAAAAGTGGCCAACAAAGGCACAATGGGACACAGGAGCCACCGCCCACTTTTGAGCTCTCCCACTTGGCTGCCTGCATTGTTGGCTTTCAGTTTAAGGGGGGTGTGGTGGAAAAGGGGGTGGGGGAAAAGTGGGGTAGTGGGTGGCAGGAAAAGCGGGGAGGGGAAACAACGCCAGCGGCATCTGGGGCATTGATGCCAGGTGACAGACGGCACTATGCAGGCGCGTCCTTCTGTGAGCCACTGTGTGCGCAATTTTCAGCCTGCATATGCCGCCGTTTTTCAGCTAATTGCCGGCTATTTACATTTTAAATCGCAAGAAACTTTAAAGCCACTCTGGCCACAAATGCAACCAAGCCGCGCTGGAGAAAAGTTTGAATTTTAATTGCTTTGTATGAATAGTTAACATGTGTTAAGTTTACTTTCTTAGATTTAACAAACTTTGGTTTAGTGATTGATTGAAATTAAAAAAATATAAGCCATAAATTGAGTCCTGAAGCCTGCGAGCTATGAATACGAAATGTGTGTGGTTGGTCATATTTCAGTTTCTGGCACCTGAAATATGTCAATTCTTTGTCGTTTCTGTGGCTCACCTCACTGCAAGTGACAAGTCAAGAAAGGAAACAACAAATATTTTGCCATGGGGTTTTTGCCTCCAGTCAACCCAACCTGTTTAGATATTCAAGAAGTATGAAAAAGCCTCTCATTTCTACTGGGTGGGTTAAAACTCTTGCTACCCTATATTGCCTTAAATATCGAGTCAATATCTTGGTTACTCAAAAAAAAAATTAATTATAAAATTACCTTAAAATCTGACTTAATCTGAACTTAATGTACGATATTAAAAAAAAACATACATCGACATATGTATGTAATTTTTCAGCACATATGTATGTATGTGCTATATCAATAACGGTAAGCTTTGCTATCGATGAGCCGTCAACGATAGGCAGACACCGAAATATACCGAAAAATACCAAAGACTCTAAACTTCCCCACCTCTAATTGCCTATACTTTTGTAAAAAATCGAGTTTATCGCATTATCCATAACTTTTTTTACGAGGCTTGAAGTTAAATGGGCTTGTGGAGTTTTTTAATAACATCTATTCATTGAATTTAATTGCAGTGTCTGACACACAAAGAGATCTCGAGTCCGATTAAAGTAAGACAAACATTTATGAGAAGAAAGAATAACTTTTTGCACGGATCATCAAACTAAAAAAAGTAAAAGAGATATGGATAGGCAATCAGCAGTAGACTTGGCCAAGCCATTCGCCAAGAATCTGGCCCTCTATGGCACAGCGACGAAACGAATCTTAAAGGAGCTAGACGAAATCTCGAGGGATCCACCACCGAACTGCAGTGCAGGCCCAAAGGAAAACAACCTCTTCCAGTGGGCCTCCACCATCATTGGACCCGCGGGATCCGTCTACGAGGGCGGAGTCTTCTACTTGGACGTACTGTTTCCGGTCAACTATCCCTTCAAGCCGCCGAAGGTGAAATTTCGCACTCCCATTTACCACTGCAATGTCCACAAGGTGGGTCATATCTGCCTGGACATTTTGAAGGAGAACTGGTCGCCAGCCCTGACAATTTCCAAGTTGCTGCTCTCCATCTGTTCCCTACTCACGGATTGCAATCCAGCCGACCCGCTAATGCCGGACATTGCCAAGCAATATCTGAAGAATCGTGCTGAACATGATGAAACTGCTCGTCTCTGGACGAAACGGTGGGTCCCTAATACTAGCCATTAACGACCCTTAATAATCTTCGTTTCCTATAGGTTCGCAACTGATGGCTAAATTCTGTAACTCCAAATGATGAACAAACCAAAAACTCAATGACAGAAACGAAAATATATATTTTATTTCGCAGTTGCGTTAAATACTAAAGACGACATACTTAAAAATTTATTTTGCACGTAAACAAAAAAAAATGTAATAAGGTTACTGGACTCGGCTTTGCATTGATCGAGTGGTATTTTTAAGTCGAGCCATATAACTTATGTGTGTGTACCTTTTTTCTCCTTTTTTATTGACAACTTTTGAAATTGTTCATGCCGCAATTGGGGAAAATCGACCACGCCCACCCACCTACGCCCATTGTGGTAATACTTTTGAGTGGCCGACCGATGGCGTTGCCAGCGAATTTCCGCCAGGGCCAAAGCAAAAATTCGATAGAGTATGAAAATGATTTTTTGACATCAACTTCGTGATTTCCATGCAAAAATATATTGTTGCAAAAACAAGGGAGCACAAAGTGGGGTAAGGTTAGAAAGTAGGTGCTCTACTCTGCCGCTTATCGATTCGAAAATTACAGGCGCAAAAGTTTGTGCGAAGGAAACACAAAATTAGCACAGGCCACGTCGCTGCCAGAAACTGTCAAGTGTTGCATACTTTTTCGGGCAATTTGAGAGGGCCAAAAAATTCCCCGGAAAATCGTGGAGAATTCCAGCGAAGTGGAACACATTTGCATGAAACTGAAGTTAGAGAAGGACAAACATTAGCTTAAGTCAGATAGCGAAAGCTACTAGAGGACGTGAAGCTCGAAGCCACCGAAAGCCAAGCGAAATTCTTTTAGCGCTCTTTTATTTTTACGGTGGGCAACCCTTTTTGGCAACCAACCCTCTTGGCTAACTTAAAATCCGGGGGTAACAAGTCAAATATGCTGCCAAAGTTATTGATGGCACACGCACCAAAACAAATTTGCTTAAATCTGTTTAATGTTTTCCCATTTTTTGTGCGCCCCTTAACTGGGTTTTCCTGCTTCCGCATTCGATATTTTTCGTATTTTTTAATTTTATAAATATGCTTTTTCTTCAAACAATTTGTTTAAATTTTTTTATTTTTCAGCTCTGTGCACGATTGGCTGCATAGATCATTTTGATGAGGGTGTTTGCGACTGTTTTGGTTCTGATAAGTTGAGTGATTCGAAAACATATTTTACTACTTGTTTGGAAAAAGTGGAAAATCTGTAAATTTTGTATCTCGGTAAATAAACCCTTTATATTTTTACATAGGTCTCAAACTTTATTCATTCTCATTAATTTTTCATCAACATTTTTCCCTCATCAATTCAAAATTCTCTTTAATTAAGAATGCTCAAGCGACGAAGTAATCCGTCTTAAAACGTGGAAAGCCATGTTTAGTACCAGAAAAAAATCACTCGAATTTATCTCACCTCTTAATAAAGTAAAGAAAATAGTTTAACAATCAAAAGATTTACAAAAAAAAGGACAAGAACAAGTTGTACAGGGCTTTATTAAAAGGTAAAATAATTCTAAATATTTAAATCAAGCAAAAATACGTAAGCTACCCTGCAAGCGGCGAAAATCGGGCGAAAATCCCCAGCACACATTCGCAGCGTAATCAACAAAAGCACTAATTGCATAGAAGACACGCTCTGACATTGATGTCTGATGCCATTAAGTGGGAGCGAGAGGACCGAGCTACGGATATCTCTGTCTGGCTGCCTGCAATTTCATTTCATTTGCGCTTCATGTGCAGCGGTATTAACGTTACAGTTGCCATTTACCTTTGCCAACCAGGGCGCTGATGACGCTAAGCTGTCTGCATGCGTAGACACCGCCACCCGCCAGCCACCTTCTCATTTTCCACCCACTTTGCCGCCTCGATTTTCCCACCCCTTTCCACCCCAGCCGTCGCACAACTTCATTAACGCAGAGTAAACACACGCATGCAGTTTTCGACTGGAGCCTGGAGCCAAGTGTTTGATGTTGCTGCCTTTCCTCTGGCAGTTTAAAGTTACATTTAGGATCTGCTCTCTGAAAACGAAGGGGGCGGGTAGGCGGAGAGGGGGGTGTGGCGGCCAGACTTTCCCAAATGTGCGGCGTATTTGCTTAGGTGAGTATTTTCGGGCTGCCAGAGCTAAGGAGAACAACAAAAGCTTTAAGCCAAACAAAATCAAATATTAAATTGTGTGCCAGGATTTGGAATTGAAATTTGTGAAAATAATACAATCTTAAACTAGATCTTGAATAGATATTTAAAAAATTTTGAAAAGGGAAATTTCATTAAATAATCATTAATAATTGCTTCCGATGTCAAAGTATAATTCAATTGACTTCTTTACGACATCGTTTACCAGTAATGTATAATTGACGACAATTTCTGCCATCATCCTTTTAAATGCATGCAAATTAACGTGATCTAAATAATTAAGTATAATTTGATGTGCTTTTTCGGCTGAGACAGCCTTCCCACGCACTTCCCCCTCTCCCCCCTCGCACATCATTTAGACCGGGCCCAAAAGTCCATTAACAAAGCGTAACGATGTGTCATGTGGCAAACACACACACGAATAACCGCAAATATCGCACTTGGTTTCGCTTCTTTCTCCGTCTGCTTTCTCCCTGGCCCTTTGTTGTTATTCATATTTATGAGGCTACGTGTGTGAGTGCCTCCTTAACAAGCCTAACGAACTGCCAAATTACGCTGAAATAGCATTAAAAATTTAAATTTTTCCCAGCCCGCGCGCTTTTTTTCGTTTTGTGAACCGTCAAAAGCGAAAAGGCCAACAAGTCCTTAATGACATTAAAAAAGAAAGCGATTTTCTTTGGGTGTTTGTGGGTGCTTTTAAAAACATGACTTTGTTTGCGGGAAGATGCTTTAGCTTTCTTAAGATCTATTGAAATGGAATAAAGAAAGTTTTTCTCGGTATCTAACATAAAAGAAAGCATATGGAAACTTTTACCAAAGGGCCTATTGTGAAGTATATTTTTTAAAGTGCCTACACATGTTATTCATGCCACATTTCTAGTAAATTCCTCTACTAACCCATTGACTGCACATACACAGCCACTCTTAAGGTGGCTTGTTGCTGTGCCACTTGGCAATCGAATGTGAGAGCCACCATAACCCACAGATGTAGCCAAGAAATGTTAAAAATTCCACAAAAAAGTAAAAAAAAAACCGAGAGAGGAACAAAAGTTGCACCAACTTGGGATAGGAAAGTTTTTAATCTGCCGCATGCAAAACTTTAATCGAAAAGCTGCCAACACTGAGGAAACTAAGTCAAACTTTTCAAATTGAAATATCAACTCGGGGAAAAAAAACTGGAGGAAAGCAGGAAAGGCAGATAAGAAAAATTCGATTCGTATGTTTTGTCGTCACATGCCAATTGCGTGTTTGAAGTGCATGCAGAAATTTAAGCCGAAAACTTTGATCGGCTGCCAGTGAGACAGAGACAAATGTGAAAGTTTTTCCAATGCACTCGAAAGTAGCAGGAAAAGCAGTTTGTAAAGTATGCAAAGGGCATGCAAACAATGGATTGTGATGGTATTCCCCTTTCTATTTGGCAGGGCGGTGCATTTTTAGCACTTGAACTTGTTAACTTTGTTCGGGCAAAGTAATGAAAACAATAAATATTCCTAATGGAAGTCAAATATGCTTTCGTGTTATTGAAATAAATGTGGGCTCCATTTTTATTTGCATAAAACAACGCATGGCGCAGTGGTCTAAAAACAATATGTTCTGCGTTTGTTTACATTTGCATGCCACACAAAAAAACGATTGTTCAGATACCGAAAACAAATATTGAGCACAATGGCCTGCTAAATAAATAAACTATTGCCGTCACCATGGAAAGTGACCTAGTTTAAAGTAATATATTATTTTTAAGCCCTCAAAGTCCATTTAAAATGTTGCTAATCTATAGCTATTTATCTAATACTTTGAGGTCAATTCATTTAAGTTTCTAGGGCAGCAACAGGCCTATTACGATAAAAGTCAAATAATTCCGCAGCCATTTTTAATTAACCAAATATGTTGGTACGGAAACGAGCACACAATTACACTTGTGCACAAATACGAGTGCAAAAATAAAGAGGGGAATATGTAAAAATATGGTAGGCAAAATTAATTTGCCCAATGCAAACATGCAGAACGTGAAAATGTGTCCCCCTTCTCCGCTTTTCCCTTGCTTTCTGTATGTGCGGTGTCATAAATTTCTGGAGCCGAGTGAAAAACCCCGAAAACCACGAAGGCAAATAACCCAAAAAATTCCGCTGACGTTTTCCGAGTCGAGGGGTGAGTTTCAGCCCAGGCAAACGCACCCACAATTGAAATGCAAGTCATGAGTTAACCAAAGCGAACCAAAAACCCCACCAAAACTCCGTTTTCTGTTCTCAGCTTCCAAGAAATTGCACCTGCCTTAGGAGTTGGTAACTCCCACAACTACAGATCCAGCTTCCATATGCCCAGCTAATATGGCTGGAGCTTAGTTCATGTCGGGTTGTTGCCAGTTATACGACTCTGCCAACTACTGCTGACTGCAGTTAGTTACCCAGCGGGCGACATGGCCAACAAGAAGCTCATTTTCGGAGGACTCCCGGGTAACCCAGCCAACAATTCAAGCGAGCTGTACTTCAACAGGTAAAAATATGTCCAGAGATAATGGTGTTAAAATTATTAATACAAATATAAACCTTTAATAGTTAAGTCATAAGAAGTACAACAGAATATTTTATATTATTTATTATTTAATAATTTTCATTGACAATTGTTCACTGGGTTGCCAGTTGCATGTGCAGCGAGTGTGGAGCAGGACAAGCCCGTGCTCATTATGCATAAATTGTCGCTGCGAAACTGCGCAGCTCCACTGAATTATGACAAAGTTAATGGCATTATAATGCCAAAACGCTGACATCTGCGCGGACGAAGTGGATAGTGCCTCTCCCTAGAAATTTCAAGTTGGCCAAGGGCAAGTGTGCCGTAATTACGTGGCGATTTCGAAACTGTTTAAAGCACAGAGATGCCAGACGGGAAACCTGATGTTGCTGTTCCTTGGCTGCCGTTGTCGATGACTTGTTGCCCCAAAGGCGGACATCCAAGGAGTGGGCAAATGACCCTCGTTTGTTGTCCTCCGTCGCATACATGGCTTGCCAATGTCAGCATCGGTGGCAGCAGCTCACACATGGACCAGCAGACTCAGACAAACACCTCTTAGCCCAGACCCTCAGCTTTTTAACCATAATCTTTCTTTTTTATCGCGAGTCTGGAGTCACATGGATTTAAGGGTACACTATAAGAAGATAGCCCAAGAAAGTATTGGTTTCCCTATCTATTACTATTTCCATTTCATTACTTAGTATCGTTTAACAAGATTAATAGTTAGAAAATAAGGATTAATATATACCATAAATAATATTTAATTTTTTTTAAACGTTCCTTAAACTTTCTTGTAGCGTTTAATATATGTTTTTATGAGTGTGCAACCTCAGCGTTAGTTGAGGACGTCCTTTACCATCAACGACTTGGTACCGCGCACTTTTTTACCCATCCATGTATGGGTGTACTTCCTGCACACACCGCATGACGGCACCACAAACTTGCGGCACTGAGCCCTGTTCTCACTTCCGGTTTCCGGTTCGCCTTTCGCCATTGCCATCGCCATCGCATCGGCTAGTTGCCGTTAACTTGTTTTGATTTTTTAATGGATCGCCTGACGACGGCAACCAGAGCATTTAAGCTTTCATAACTCTTATCTTAAAGCCCGGACCTAGAACAAACCAGAACCTTAAGCTCTCGAATTTCCTCTTGAATTGTGCGAAAATATATATTTTTTCAGAGTTCTCTTGGTGGCTTTTGTCAAATAAGGAAACATCGGAGAGAAATCGTGAAAGATACTCCGCATTTGACGTGGTGTAGCTCTGAGTCTGGGCTTTTGTCATGCAAATTGTTCAACAAGCAAGGCGGGATGTCGACGGTGACGTTGATTGCTCATGAAGTAAAATTAAAAGCAAACAATAAAAAAATTGGTCAAGAGGGTCCGCAAATACCCTACTAACTTTTGAGAATTAAGAACAAAATACAAGTTGATAATGAATTAATGAACAAAAGCAAAACCTGATATAGCGTACCCTTAAAGTTATTCTTCTGTATTCAGAATTTGATTTTAAGATTATTCATTTAAACCTAATACCAAGAAAACAAGTTGACAGAAAATTTAGCATAGTAAAATTTAATGAGCAACCTAATTTTGATGATCCTTGATAGGCGACATTCCCAGGATCAAGGAGGGAACTCGACGGCGTGGCTTACCTTCCAGCCCATTTCTCCACTGCCTCCATTAACCATTTTCATGTTGTTCGCATGCAACTTGAGTAAAAAACAAAAGAGCTGCCAACAGGCAACAAAAGCCACCGAGGAGCGGGAAAATGGGAAAAGAAATACAGTTGACGTTAAAGGGGAAGCACACACAAGTCAAGTCAGAAAACTTTTGTTTCCAGGCATTGTTCGCATTATGGTTGCTGGTGTTGCATGCCACCGATGTTGTGTTGCTGTAATTGCCGCCGAGAAGGAGGTGCCCAAGTTCAGAGTCCTGTGCAGAGTCGTCGATTTTAATTACGTATGCAATTTATTTATTACCTTTGCCCGGAAATATTGTGCAATTGTGTTGCTCTTGCTCTGCGGATGTGGCACAAAGCCCGCACAGGGAAAAGGGAGGCGTTTCTTTTTGCTGGGGGCGTGGCAGGGCAGAAAAGATTTAACATGCGGTTATGAAGTTACTTTTCACATCCTCAATTGAGTCCTGTCAGAAAATGCAGTGCACAAGGTGCTTGAAGTCAGATAAACTCAATTTTGAGTACTTATTGAGCTGACAGCAAAAGGATAAAGTGTTTGGGTTCTTAAAGAAAATATTTATTTACGAATGTCAAGATTGAAGAAAAACATATCTCAGAAAATTTAATTACAAAAATAATAAATATGAACCTGCATTTAAGCCCGGGCAAACCTACTATAAATTAGATTACCTATACCCAGAAAAAATCACGTAAAATCACCGGGACCATAAGCATAGCGTGTGTCCAATATATTAGCGTTTTCATTAGGAAAACAAGCGAAATTTGTTCACAATGTTGTAGTTGTTAGAACCCGAGCACACACATATACCTCAAAACCTATTTCAAATTGGTTGCATTACTTGATTAGTGTCCGCGCAGTGCTGTTATTAAAATTCAATCTAAAATCTACCAGAGTAGTTGAGTCTCGTGAGCTGATTGCATGTCTAATCGAATTTAACAACCTTTTCCACTAGAGGATATGGAAAGAGGAGCAGCGAGGAAATTAACGAATTTCGTATTAAGTGCAAATTCCGGCCGAGGACTCGTGTCATGCGATTGTGATTTGAGCTCAGAGCCGTTAAGCTTTTCCTTCCCCTTTGGAGCCATTTGCATGTGGATCACGTGACCAAAGGCGGGCATAGGAGATGCCTCTTTGGGAGGTTTGTTGGCTTAGCTAAATCTCTACTGAACAACCAATACATAGAATGTTTTAAAACTAATAAGAATTTTTTGTCAATTGATGTAATTTCAAATTACTAATTTGTTTGCAAGATTGTCTCTCGTATAAGAAAAGTGATTCCATTGCTAATCTAAATAAGATAGGATAATATGAATTTAAAAAGTGTGGCAAAAGTCAAAGAATGACGCTTCAGTGTTTGACAAAGTCGATAAGCACCAGTATCGATATTTGGCTTACCAACACTAAACTCTTCCCACCACTGAAGCACTGACTTATGCTTCGAATTGAAAATTCGCCTAGTCACTGAAAAGTACATTTTCAACAGAAAAAGGCCGGTAGCAGAAAATTCGAGAGTGAGTCATTTGAAAACTAGAAAAATTAATATAAAGCCGAACCTAAGATATCCCCCAGACAACCAGCTGTACGGATACTTAGTTCACGATGTCGGATCGCAAGGCGGTAATCAAGAATGCGGACATGAGCGAGGAGATGCAGCAGGATGCTGTTGACTGCGCCACACAGGCTCTGGAGAAGTACAACATCGAGAAGGACATAGCCGCCTTCATCAAGAAGGAGTTCGACAAGAAGTACAATCCCACCTGGCACTGCATCGTCGGCCGCAACTTTGGATCCTATGTGACCCACGAGACGCGCCATTTCATCTACTTCTACCTGGGCCAAGTGGCCATTCTGCTCTTCAAGAGCGGCTAAACGACGCAGGACTCCACAGAACACCTTTGTCAAATGGCGCCCAACATTGTTTTCCAAAAAAAAAAAAAAAAATAGGCAGAACATTGTTGCAGAGATGTTTGAGGTCCCCTGGCAGCCAACAAGTTCAAATGTAAACACACGCTTCCTGATGTTTTTGTGAATATTTTTCCCCAAATTCGAAACACTTCCTCCGTGGTCGCTAAACAATTCTGATAATAGTTACAATAAATGCTTCCCTATGTTTCTCCCGATTTCTGTAAGTTTTTCCTATTAACAAAATATGATACTGAATTTATTTTGCATGTGCAAGCATTAAAGTGTGCCAGCACTTTTATCGCCGATTTCACCTCGCATATTCCCTGCTGATTCAGCGAGACCTGAACACATCGGATAATGCTTTTGGGTTAATTCCTGCATTCACAATGTCCTTCGAGTTCATCAGAAGGCAAACAATGGGAGCACAGTTTTCCCCGTCGAAGTGCGGCAATTTCGGGCTGATGGAGCAGCCTCACCTGGCTGTGGGCAAATAAAAATTGCTTAATTAAGTTAATTAAAATATTGTCGCTGTCCACTGTGCTTCCATGTGCTGGCGGCGGTGGCATTTATGCGTTTTTATTATCACTGCGATTGGCCAATTTCGGGCAGGACATCGTTGGGGTAATTATGCCAGCGCACGTCCAGGGCCGCAATAATAATCATAAAAATAATATTAATAAAGTTCGCAGCGGATGAGAATATATTTGCGAAATGCTTTTCCAGTCGGCCGGCAGGCGCAACATATGAAAATGTTTTTTTTTTTATATTTTCGTTCTTGTTTCGAGTGGGTGTTTATAGTTGGTTTGAGCCGCTTTCACAGTTCGACGACTTTTGGCCTTGTCCCCTTGATTTCCCGCCAGCTGGCACCAGTTCTGTTTTCTGTTTTCCGAACTCCTGCATCCGCATTTCGATGGGGATCGGTCGGTCAGACAGATTCTCATGCATATTTCATGGCTAGCTTAAATACGGCGACGGGATACAAACAATCGGGCGAAACGTATTGCCACACTTGAAGGCCAATCCAGGTCGTAAAAATTTTAATGCCCAGCAATCAGTTTTACGCCCTCTCAGACAAAGCCTGTATTAATTTTTTTTTTTGTATATTACATTTATGTATTTTTTTTTATGAATTTTGACAATAAAAGTAAAGCCCATGCTTCTTTCAGGGATTCCTTAATATTGCTGCCCACCTTTTGACCTCCTGCACATCCTTCTCCCACTTATTTCATTTTTGAAGTGAAGTTTTAACTCTGCCCAACAGATTCTCTGTTTTTCTGCTGCTGCTCTGCTTTTACTGGGCTGAATGAGTAATGGCATTTTAACTCCGAGATGAGTTGAGTCTGCGCATTAAAAAAAAGAGACTCAATGGGAATTCTCAACCAACGAGAAGATAGATGGCGCCAGCGAGAAGTTCAATTGGAGTTCTCGTTAATATTTCACATGTTTTCAAATAAGAATTTTCCAAAATTTCTGTTCGAAAATTAAGGTGCCTAATTATTATTAAATGTGTGGTTGTCCAGACGTATTTTTAATTTAATCAGCGGCAACTTGAAGTAATGGTAAAGATAGTTATGAATATTTAAGAAGGATTTGTGCAGCTTTAAAAGAAATACTTTATAGGATTATTATCTACAGACAGCCAATCAACAAAGGGTAATTGGGCCGCTTTATTATTAAAACTTATTTATATGTCACAATGATATACAAAAAGTGCTGGTACATTTATTATTCGCCGACTCACTGCTTTGTTTTGTTCCCACATAATTCCAATTTAATCTCGCATAGTACCATTCGCCCTCCACGGCCACCATCAAGTGACTACAAATGAGCAAAACTCTTGACCTTTTTTGTGCCCCGAGCGGAAAAAAATGAACAAAACTTTTATAAATTACTGTCAGTAGCAGTGACCTCAATATAAAATTGCACAACATAACTTGAACACACACCGATGCACACAGAGACTGGGACAATTGCGAGTGCAATAGATACGAGTGTAATTGCATTTTACTTGGACGCCGAGCTAGAAAAACCAAAACCAAGCCAAACGAAACCGAACCGACCACAGAAACATACGCACATGGGTATGTTAACTTTTTGTGACCTCAGCAGCTATAATTATTGCCATTTTTTGTTGCTGCTCGGGCACACGTATGTATACGTACGTATGGTACATGCATATATGAGCCAGCAAAACGGGTCAGTCCAAAGTCAACATTAGCTTTATCACAACCCAGAGTCGAGGGCTAAAAACTCTCGACAATGACAAAAAATCTTAATGAAACACAAACAAGACAGGAGGCGGGGGAAGGTGGAGGTTGGAGGGTGAATGGAACCCAACGAACAACAATAAAACCGCACAGCATAAAAAGTCACAGCAAATGTTCATTAAACAGAAATAAATGTTCCGAATTTGTACCGAAAATTAAAATGAAAAAAAATACTTTGGCTCTCAGCAGCGAAGTTGGCTTACTCTGTAAATAGAGTTGAGCATGAAAGAGGATACAGCACGATTATCCCTTTGTCGGTAATGCGAATGAAAGAAGCTTTTCGCATATGAAAAGTAGAGCATTTAAGTTCACAAGTCCCTCCTCACATGGAATTCTCGTAGGCGTGGTCAGGGAATTTCCATAAACCCATTTCGCCGGATAATAGCCTACATAAACAAAAATAATCGCAAAGCAGAGCACAAAAGACGAAGAGTTGCGGAATGGCGGAAGTTGCATGCTTCTCATGGCTCTACTCCTTTTTCGGGCTCGTGTGATGAATGAGGCTGCAAGGAGCCGCAAGGACACATGCAGAAGTCACCCACTCGGGGAGTCGATTTTTCATTTGGCTTACGTATCATCAACCAGAGCTTGTCTCGTGTCGTTTCCCCTTTCTTTTTGGCCACTATCTCCGCCTGACCAATTCCATTGTCGTCAACAGAGCTCGTTTCCTGCCACTTTCCGCTGCTTCTGCCACTTCCAAGCTTACTCTTGGTTTAAACTTGGATTTTTACGTCTATCTGATACTTCTAATTTAACACTTCTCGCTTGAAGTCCTTGGGATTTGCTTACCTTTTAATACAAAATATTTTTAGATTGTTTGCAAAAGAAGTTCTCATTCCTAAAAATTTATATAGAATTTTTAGAAATGAGTACCGGGTATCCTGTAGTCTAACAGCTCTGTAGTTTGCCTGCTTATCAAACCCCAGTGTCTCCTCCTCAGATTTCCGCAGTGCCTTTGTAGGTTTTATTTTCGTTATTGTTGCCTGTGATAAATTGTGCGCTCTTCGTTTTGACAGATGTCAGCGTTTGTCTGCCCAATGCGAACCAGAAGTCTTTTGGGTTTGTCTAGGCTGTGCTGGCAGCCCTCTGAGGTTATCGTCCTTTTTTTCATTTTAATTTTCGAACGAATTTTTTCCTCGCATTAAAGTCGTCGGGAACCTTTAACCTCAGCCTGATCTTTGACTCAACTGAAGTTTTTGTTACATTTTAGTCGTGTGTGTGTTTGTTTTTCCTGCTGCCGGTTGCAGTCAACTTGTTGACATTTTCAGGCCTGTCACATTGCTCTGAAGTCCTGCGTCTGAGATCCCGAACCTGTGTCCTGTCAGTCTCCGCGTCCCGAGTCCTGCGTCCTGTCCTGTCCTGTGTCCTATGTCCTGCCTCCGTGTTCGTGCTCGTGTCCGTGTCAGGCGTCACTTTATGCCCCTGACAGCGGCAACAATTTTATTTACTTAATTTGGCTTTAGTTTGTCATTTATTTACTTGTTTGCCGCAACAGCACAACAGTTGGTCAAAGTGTCCACCTCACGGGGCCCACCTACCACCGATTCCTAGGCCATATCTCTGGTCCTTGGACCGATCTGGGCCGACTTCCTCGTGCGATTCTGTTGTTGTCACTTTGACGCCGACGTCGGTGTTGTTGCCAGGGTTTTGATGTTGCCGCTTTTGGTTTTATTTCCTTCAATGGGGTATTGTCAAAAAAAGACTAAACTTAGCTAGTTGGAAAAAATTAAATAAGTCTAAGCATTGGATCCCGAACACAAAAAAGAAAGTGTCACCAGAATTTCAGAACAATAAACATAAACACGTTTAAAATGATTTAGGGATAAATTAATATACTTTCAAAACTCTTTCGTTTTATAGGGTTAATGTTGACTTTTTACCTTGCTTATTTTTTTCCTACCAAGTGTATCCTTTATTCGTTTTGGCCATCTTCAACAGAACCCCCATTTGGTTTTATTTGTAGCACGGTGACACATTTTGCTGCCCGCACTTTATTGCATATCGTTGTCAGCTGTTGTCGGAGCGTGGCATTGAATTTTTTATGAAAATTTAGAGCAAGTTGCTTTTTTCCTTGTTTGGCTGCCGTTGATGCCACTGCTGGTGTTGCACTTTGGTACCTTAATTAAATATTTATTTCAATCATTTTCGGCAAATGGATGGACACCGTGGGCCGTGAGGCATGAAAATCCCATCACTTGCGAAGTGAGAGCTCCAGTTGAAGGGGCGTGGCACTTGGGGGCACTAACATTTGTCATTACACATTAATAGCGCACCATTAATCTTTTTCGTGAGCCGAGGGCAGGGGGCTCACAATGAATGCCAGTCCGGGTCCGGGTCTGGACCTGAATCTGAATCGGAATCTGAGTCAGAACCTGGATCTGGACCCGAGTCGTCTGTCGCACAAAACCGTTAATTAATGTATGCCATTTAGCTGGAAAATTGCAAAAGGGACACACACTCACGTTCACAAATTGGTTTAAGAGATAGAGATGGGTCGATAGATTATGCATAGTGATAGTTAAATAAAAATAAAATAAAATATAAAATAAATATAAATAGGAGTACATATATAGAATATGCGTTGAAAAAGGTGGTTACTAATACTGGAACGTAAATGTGATATTCGTTGTTGTTAAAATGTTGATATTCAGTTTGATTATATATATATTTTTTTTTTTATCAAGATCACTCTCACGATGTCACCACTAAGGCATACGTGTTTCGCCAGCCCATCATAATGAGCGGCAATTTAGTGCCCTTTTGAACGGTGGTGGCCGTGGGGTTGAGCCACTGGACGAGTGGCTTGGGGGGTTGGGTGTTGCGTCGTTGTCGCCACCGCAAACAAGCAAAGGCAAAAGCCGCAGTGGCGGGGAAAAGGGAGCAGGGAGAACAGAGGGGATTGCCCAGCAGGTATGCTTGATTAATGCTTTATAACAAGGCTCGCACAAAGCACGCTCTGAATGCACACCCACGCCCACAAAAACCACTGGATGGCGGTCCGCCGCCCCCAGAAACACCCAGCCAACCTCCGCCCACCGCCCACCGCCTGCGTCCTTGCATTTTAACATTAATTTAGCGGAATGCTGCAGACGACTTTGAAAGGCTTTTCCAGCATTCGTCAACACATGTTAATCCTTGTTGTTGTAATTGCTTTCGTTGGTCAAAGTCCCGAAAACACTTGAAGCCTTGCAATAATGAGGATTTTACATAGTATCCTTACGCAGTCGGAAATGGATGCAATCTGTGAGTAATGGTAATAAATTGTTACTTTAAAAGACTTTTTCGATCATTTCGATTGTATCCCTAAACCAAACAGAGATATAAAGAAGAAAAATTTAATTTAATTACCCACGAAAACTCAAGGTTAACTACAAATACAAAAGACCAAGCTATTTTCTTCATTCTAATTATTTTCCTTTCATGCCATTATGGCATGGAAAGTTTTCTTTTCATTTGCCAACTGCAAAGTCCACATTTCTTTGCATCTGATATGCCCCTGCGGCCTTTTGTGGCTTAATTAAATTAAGACATTACAAACTTGTGGATCTTGTTTGAGCTTCATACTTTTGACGCTCGCAATTATTATTATTTTCAGTCCTTATGGCACTTTCCTTTTTATATGATTTGCTTTATACTATTTTTCACGTTTTCATTTCTGCTGAGCTCTGCGCCCTTGAGTGCTTCCTGTGGCAGTCGTTCATTAGGCAAAAGCGGAAGAAAATCCAGGGGAGAGGTAAAAAAGTAATACCAAAAAAATTTGTCTAAAGAGTTAAAAGGTTTATTCACTTTGCGCCGTCTGACGTTTTACGGGTGGTGGTGAGGCTAAAACCAACATTCGGGGCTGGAGACACATTTTCCGAGCTGAACATTAAGTAATTATAAGTTGAATACGAGTTGGCTAAAAGTTGCAAGTTGGCATTTGCAACTAGGCAAACATATTGCATGTCTACACCCTGGCAGACAAGCAGACAGGCAGACACTGGTGCACACTGCGTATGCGTAATGTGTTGAATAATTAAATTGTCAAACAATTGGCTTTTGGCAGAGAAACGGAGAAAAGGAGAAAAGATGATGGCACGAAAGTGCTGAACGTAGCCGGGATTTATTGTCTTGCAGTGGGAATCCTTTGGCAGTGAGTGGAAAACGCTTAATCATCTTTAATTGAAAGCACTTGATGAGCTAGTCAAATGCCAATGAACAACGAACAATGAACAATGGACGCTTTGAACAATCGGCATTATTTATAATGCCTTTTAATCTCAATCTGAATTTGCATTTTGTCTTTTTTCTATGTGTGTGAGCCGGCTGGCCAATTCATTTGCTCGCTGATAGGATTTCATTTACTTGTCATCACGAAAGCGTTTTCAATTAAACTGTATTTATTATTGAGCAGATAAAGCAAACAATTCCCTTTTCAATAGTTAATAATGCCAAGTCGGCTTATCGTTCTTCAAAATTGCAGGGATCAATTTCGGTTTAAGCGAGTTTGACACGAGGCTTTAGTTAAATAAGATTTTATTCAACTGATGCGTATCAGTATTATTATTCAACAAAATAAATAAATTAAACTTGTGCATAAACTGGTGCTGAGAATCAGCATATGTTGTTATTCTTTTACGAAGAATTCCTATGTTTGTTCGCTCTTTCCATCATGATTTATTGAAGTGCGAATCGCAAAAGCTTTTAGGCCGATTGCCTGGATTTTCAGTTGGAGAAGGGGAATATTCAACCGCAAATCTGTTGAGTTGCTTACGACCATAGACACTATGTTAATTATCTCGTAAAGTTTTAAACAGTTGCTAAAATAGTTTATTCCAATGAATTTAAAAATATGCTCTCTCTAAAATATACTCTAATTTGATGTCAGTTAATATGTACTAAAATCCACTAACTTGATCTCAAATAAAATACAATAATTTAGGTATTTAAAACTAAGCAGCTTCCTCTCCTTCATCTTCCTCCTCTCCCTCGTCGGCTGCCGCATCTTCAGCTGCCTTCCTCCTCAATTCAGAGCTCCTTCGACTGACTACGGATTTTTGCGAGCTTCGGCGACTGGAAGTCTTGGATTTCCGAGGAGGTGGTTCCGTGCAGCTATATGGTGGAATGTTAAACTCCTCCGGAACGAACTCCTCGAAGGTTTCCATTCGCAAAGTGGCCAACTCCGACCAACAACACGGCAGGCTCTTCTCGGCCAACATGACCACTGGCAATCGAGCATCGCTGGCCGCCTGAACCCCATGAGGAGTGCCGTCGAAAACCAGGGTGCAATCCGGTCCAGCATCCCCCAATCTCGACAAGGCAATCAGATACACATCCGGTTCTGGTTTAAGGGCCCTTAGCTCCGGATCATTGCCACAGATTACGGTTGAGAAGTTCTCAAAGAAGTCCAGCCGATCACGGATCTTAGTGCAGTACATGGACTCGGAGCACGAGGTGATCAGTCCCAATCCCATGCAGCATTTGCGCAGGTGCGTGACTAATCGCTCGACTCCTGGCATCAAAGTGGGATTTGCAATCAAATCGGAGGTGCGCTCATTCAGCTGGAAGCGAAAGGTCTCCCAAGCCACTGGAAAATCGCACTTCCGGCAAATCATCTGCACCATTTCAGCCGTTTCCATTGGTCCACTTTTGATCAGCAGATATTCGGGTATAGTCCTATTGTAACTCGAAGCCAGCTCAATTAGAGCCCTCTGGTAGACGTGACGGGTGTCTGTACAAAAAGTATTCGTTACTAGAAGTTAGTAGGTATTCTGGAAAACCAATCCCACCAAAAACAGCACTCTCCAGATCAAAGATGCAGTAACTAACGCCCGGACTGCAGCACATCGGTGGACAACGGGAACATTCTGGCGGAGGTTTGCATGATTTACAGCAAGGGCTGCACATATCTGAATTTACGGAGAATAATTTTAGAATTTCCGAATACTTAATTTTCAGTTTTACGAATTTGGGCCTAACTGACGTTTGTTGCCTAAAATACAAAGCTGGCTTTTCGTCTGCCTCACAGTTGCATAGATAAAAAAATATTTTTAAATTAGCAGGTAAGGTGGAGCTTTCTTAATATATCAAATTAAAATTATATAAAATAATACAAATTTTATAGGAGAAGTTTTTTAATGAAGACCAAAGTCAAGGATTACTTTAATATTTGGCTTTAATAAACCACATTTAACTTCTTTATAATCTTCACTTTTTTACAGAACAGAGTGTATGTTTGATTTTCCCAAAGGCGGTAAGCCAAAGTATTGTGGCTTGAAGCCCTCCAAGGATCGCAATCTCAGAGTGGCCGGAGCACTGGCTCGGATAGAAACCAGAGGATCGGGAACGAGAACCACCTGCATTCCAGCCGCCAAGGCAGCCTCCATTCCCACCAACGAGGACTCGAAAACCAGGCATTTACTCGGATCCGGAGGATCCTCAAAACGAGAGGCGGTGGTGAGGAAAATATCTGGAGCAGGCTTTCCCCTCTTCACTTCTTCATCGGAGCCACTCAGAACCACGTGGTGGAAGACATCGAAGAGACTGGAGTGTCGACGTGTCTTTATCCTGAACGAATCCCGGCAACTGCCACTGCCGATGGCCATTGGAACATTGGACTCGTGAAGATGCTTCAGGAGGCGCTCCACACCGGGCATCAGTCGAATGAAAGGCAATTTACCCCGACATTGCAGTTCGTGCTGAGATTCAAACTCAGAGCGACCGAAGGGCAGGTTGAAGGTGTTCACCAAGAGGTCAGCCTGCTCCGAGTCCGGTTTTCCCATGCAACGCATCTTCAGATCAAAGCTATAGGTGTGTCCATAGGGATCCAGAATCTTCTGAACCGATTCGGTTCGCAAACTTTCGCTATCTATTAGGAGGCCATCCAACTCGAAAATGCAGTGGGTCACTGGCTGAAAAAAACACGTTTTTGTAACGCGATCTTCTTCCGACATTTTTTTACTTAAATTTTGATTTATTATTCAGAATTTGAGGGGTAAATATAGAGTGCTTAGAGAACTTATCCGAACTCGAATTTGCAGCAAGTGTCAAAGGGACGAAGGCCAAAGAGCTCGGGTTTGAATTCAGCCATTGAGTTCAGGACCAAAGTGGCGCCTTTCCTCTGCTGCTTGGTGACGAAGGGCTTGGGTATGAAAACCACTTGGGAACCTGATGCCACGCCCCCTCTCAGACCAACTGGGGCGTCCTCGAAGATCAGGCACTTCTTGGGATCTGCGGGTGGATTGAATCGCGAGGCAGCCAGGAGAAAGATATCCGGCATGGGCTTCCCCCTTCCCTTTCCCAATTCCGGATCATCACCGCAGACGACGTGATGGAAGGCCAGCATTATGTCCCTATGGGGATGCATCTTCACCTGGAACATCCGTCTAAACGAACTCGTTGCAATGCAGAAGGGTATCCGGTATTCGTGCAGGTGGAGGATCAGATCCCTCACCCCTGGGAGAAGAGCCACGTTTCTCATGTGCCTCTCGACGACCGCCGTATATCGGCGGTAGAACTCTTCCTTCGTTATTGGGAGATCGAACTCCTTCACGGCGACTTCTGCAAACATGTTCGCTGGCATTCCCATATGAGCAGCCTGATGGGCATGTGTGTAGGTTTTGCCAAAGGGAGATAGCAACTCATTGATGGTTTTTAGATATACTGTTTCGCTGTCTGAAAGTGATTAAAATAAGGTAAGAGGTTAAAAAAAGATTACAGAGCCTATATTTGAATAGCTAAATATGGATTTATACCTATCAATGTTCCATCGCAGTCGAAAATGACGTGGGTGACTGGACAGTAACACTTCTTTGAAGGCATTTTAGAGATGGTCTTGTAAATTGGTGTCCCTTTCCACTTACAACATTCTAATTAATTTAGTTCGCTAATTTGGATACATTTTGGGATTTGGTTTTGTTAATCAGAAGGTGGATACCGAAAGTTTAAAATTCAATTTTATAATTTGGTTTTCAGAACCTTGACAAACTTTTAAAAGAAAGCCATGATATATGTAGCTAATATTATAATCCGAGTTAGTTGAATATATTAAAATTCATAAGTTGAAAAGCTGCAACTTTTCCTGATTTTCGTGTCTAGCTGTAGTTTTTCTCGGGGTTATTCTCTTGCGGATAGTTGCATACAACTTATATATTTAACTAAGTCTAATGCATGCGGTGCACGCTTTTCGGCCAAGATTCCGCTGCCGTTCGCATGCTGCTACAAAGTTGCGTAATTGATTAAGCAGTTGGCAGCCAACCCGCAAGAGACGTTCGCCGCAACGCGTCGCCAAAAACTTTGGCTTTGGCCAATACGTGCGGCAGAATTCGTCGCGTTGGTGGTGGGTGGTGCATGTAGCATGTGGTGCAAAAGTTTCTGCGGCGGCTCGAGGGGTGGGTGGAGGTTCAAAGGTGAACGCGTCGCGATGCCTGATTTCGGGATGGCTTTAATAGCCGAGCACACCTGGGGCCGTCCAAAACGAGTTAACGAAAATGTTTGCGCTTTCTGACGACTTTGAAAGGCGGTTGACAATGGAAATTTACTATATGCAGAAAGTTAGAAAACTATAAATTGGATAGAAAAATGGAAAAGTATAGTTGTTTTATTCTCTTCCTAATAAGAAATTACAGCTGAATTCCCAATAAATCATACTTCTCTAAAAGTTCATCCAGCTTGCCCCATTGTCTATGCAACGAAGTGGCCACTTTTATTACCTTTTATTGGCAAGCGTTGCCTCGGTTGCAGTCAAACCCAATGACCGTGACGCATTAATGTCCTGTGGCCGCCAAAATCGAACCAGAAGTTGGCTGAATGGCTAACTGGTTCGCTGGGCTTGCATATTTTACGAGCGAGTCCAACTTTAATTGGAACAATACCAATAAATGCCAAATGCAGATGGCCCAGAGGGAGAGCCAAAAAGTTTGATGTGCATTGACCGGGATATCGAAGGACCCTCCGAACCACCAATCGCAGTCCGCAGCGGTGGAAATCAGCTCAAGGGGACACATCCGCATTCACACACACACACACTGGCACACACACTCATACAGAAAGCCACAGAGACCGCAAGGATAACAACGGCTTTTGGCCGCCGCCGCTGCAAGTTTGCGGTTTTTGGGGAGACTGAAATGCAGGCAGAACGGACAACTGGACAAGTGGACCAGCGGACCGGTTAACAATTCAATGAACGCAATTACGGCGCCCAGATTTCAGGTGGCAGGTGGAGAAGCGCGTTGCCACGACAGCGATTAGAGACGCGTTCAAATTAAACGTTTACAACATATTGTTGTTGGCCAGCCAAGTGGGAATTCCCCCTGGTAAGCGCGAGAAAGAACAAATAAATATGTTAAACTTAACTGTCTAGACCATTAATTACTTCGTGCTTTGCCTGGCATAAAAATGGTGGAAATTATAAACTAATCAAAGTATTATTTAGACAAAAGTGGTAAGAATTAAATACATTTTCCTCTTAAATTTGTAAATGGTTAAGAACAATACACCCCAATTTCATACCCTGTACAAAAAGTTACAAACGCAAAAACGGTTGGTCATAAATGCTGGGTTCCCAAAATGGCTGACTGCATAATTCATGCACACAATTCGTCGCTGCATTCGAATGTCCTGTTCTCGAGTCCTGTTCCAATTTGGCTGCCACAACAGCTGACGCACAGAATCCCGAAAAGTGTCCGTCCGTCCGATTAATTAAAAGGCATTTTATTGACTGAAGGGTGGGAGTGGTTAAATGCTCGATGTGTGTGGAGTGGGCAACGTTTATCGCCAGTAGCTTCGTACCTTGCTGACAGCAAATTGCTTTAGCTGATTTGGCACTTTCCATTGAGTCAATAAGAAATGAAATGCGCTTGAATGGGCTTCAAGGATGTGGATGGAGTACAAGAGACTCAGAACAAAGTAACGTCAATTTCAGCAGATCAGAAAGTAATTGAAGAAACAGAACTGCAAAACATTACTGCTAACATTTTAATTTAAATTGGTATAAATTCCACCCCACAATATATACTTTATTAAATTTGTCCAACACATTTGCATTTAGATTCAAGTAAAACTTAGTTTCTAAAAAGGAACTCCCCGAAGAATCCGCAAACCCTGACTCCCCAAACCCTTTGGTCACCGCAAGGAATACCAAATTGAATAAATAGTATGCGATATAATCTGCAAAGAAGAGCCCAATAGCTCGAGGGGCAAACCGCAAAACTGCAGGCCGGACTCGTCCTTTGGCACTCAATAAATGTTATCCATCTATGTGCATGGCGGGCTCAAATGTCAGTCACATATTCCTTCAATCATCACGGCGCTTTCCAGAGCGATTTCCCCAAGGGTCTCCAGTGCAACATTGTGTGGCAAGGGGCATTCGGGGGCTGGAGCATGGGCACAAAGTCCAATTTGTTTGTAATGGCATTACTTTGTTTACAAAACAAATTTTGTATGCATAGCGAGTAGTCGCAGTCGTCGGGCGAAAAGAGGTGAGTTTTCGGGGGGATTGGGCTGGGAATCCTCGACCCTTGCAACAAATGCTGCAAACCCAACTCTCAAAATGCCGCGGGTGCTGTCGCAGTCTAGGGAAACCGGAGAACAAAAATAGAAAGGCGGGCAAATAAAATATAGACATAGATATATACGAGTAAGAGTACACTGTATATGTTTGCACAGCTTCTAAAAATCGTTGTACCATAAAATTTCCCCAATGGACGCTCGGAGTTTTCGGTTGGCAAGGATCCTCCGTGCTGCCTTTTCGCTGTTTAATTTCACAATTGTCCTTTTTCTTTATTCCCGTCCAGGGAATGAGACGAGTGGGTGGGCCAGGTTATCTATGCGCATCCGTTCCAAGTGCGGTTTTGTGATTTATGCTTGTTTCTGCTGGCCAACATTTGTTTCTCTAACCAAGGCCGAGAGAACACAGCAGTTTCCGGGAGAAATTAGACCAATATGGTTGCGATATAATATAGTATAGCTAAAGCAGGTGTTATTGTTGTTCATACAAAAATATATTTAACGCAAAATGTTTAAATATACTTTTTCGCCACCAATCTATAATCAACTTATTTATGGTAATCAAGGCGTTCCCATGAAACTGTTATATTTTTAAATGAATTTGTTATGCTGATGTTTTATATTTTAAGTATTAAATTATTAGCACAATATCAAAAGAGTCTACGTATCTTGAGGACACGCCTCCTGGGGCACTTTACTCATGTCACTTAAAGTAAGGCCAGCTTCGTGGGCAAAATGTTGGGCCATAAATAAAATATCCGGAGGTGGTAAGCGTTTACGGGTCTGAATGACAGCCCAATCTGAATGGGAAAAAAAAAAAATATTTAACCAGCCTTATTTAACATATGAAGATGACTTACGAAAGCTAAAAATATCACTGGAATCAAAGCAGAAAAATCGAATTGCGAAGTTATCATAGTCCGTATCCAGTATATAAATCATAACTCCCTCGGGAAAGACTAGAAAAAATAGTCAAAATTAATCATTTTCCATTTAATTGAAATTGTAAAAAGAATTACCTGTATTTTTGGTGTCCAAAAGATAACCTCCAGATTCTACTTTTACTTTCAAAATGTCTGCTTTTCTGACCTTCACTGTACCGGTTCTTTAAAAAAGACTCCTCAAGAATGGAATATGAAAAATATACCTTTGACTTACTGGGAGCTCAGTTCCCGAGCTATAACACTGTATCTCTGGTCGCTTTCCTCCACGAACTCGGTTGACTGACATTTGGCGATTCGGAGCGAGAGGGGCGGATATATGGAGTGGGTGTACCACTTTCCCTTAAACCGCTCCATGTCCAGATCGCCAACTGCTGTCATGTTGTCGGGACAGGATCCATGAAAAGCCTTCATGGCAAATGCAAATTGGAGATCGAAGACGGCAAGTCTTTTAAATAGTAATATCAGCTACGAAATAATTTTATAGTTTTAAAAAAGTACTTACACGAGTATCTTCCACTTGATCATGCTGGAAAGCTTTTAGTACAAATAAGAACAAAACAATTCTGTTTGGCATATTTAAATCTACTTAAGCGGATTTTCAAATCTAATCAAGATTTTCCGCTGAAGGAAAGTTGAACCAAAGCGCATAGCAAATCGTTAATGTATGACATCAATACACCTTAAAATTTTTATGTGTTATCAATACCAAAAATGTTTAAGAAAGTTTATTAAAAGAAATAATATATAGATTAATATAAGCTCAAACAGTATATTTATATTGACATATTAATGAAATCAATAACTTCAAAAAGCGTTTAACACTGCCTGCTAATAATACACTTATTTGTAATGCTTTCATCGAATATATTCGTTTTAATTCCCCTCAAAAACAGTTACCTAGCGATATATTAACAAATATTAACAAGTTTAGTAGTTCAGAAAGTTCATGAAAATATCGTAGAGACGCTCGTAGAAGCGTCTTAGCCATTCTCATGCCTTTTGGATGGCTTCTGGCACCACAGTGGTCACAAAGTCATCCACGTCGAGGTCGTCATCTCCGGCCAACTCAGTGCCATTGCCCTCCAGCTGGGGGCACTTCTTCTGAATTGTGTCCATGAGGAATGTCTGCGAAATCCCATTGTCGTCCAAGATCTTCTTGGCCACATCAACAGTCTCCGCTGAAGGCTCACGCTGACGAGTTAAGATCCAAACGAGTTCTGAAATGAAAAACTCAATTATCATTCTGTCGTAAACGGTTGTCACTCCAAGTTAGTTATGACACAGCTTGCATAATAACAAATTGAGTAGACTTCCTCGTTAACTTACTTATATTCGCAATGGGCCCTAGACTTGTGCAGCTGTAGACGACGGCATAAGATTCATAATCGGTGCCCAATATTATATAGTTAGCCTGCGTCAATGACTCTAAAATTAACAAATAAATTTAAACTGGATGTGCCAATAGTTTTGGAAGTTACTCACGGCCCGGGTAAAAAGCCACTGCCAGTTGACCAGGTCCAAGCACTTTTGCCTGTCCAGTGACATTCGATGGTTTGCCAGTGCTGTTTTGTTTGAATTGATTAAACAGTTTGGTAATATTTAATTGTCTTAAACTCACAATCGATTGATAGCTGCATTCACCACAGACACTGTATTGTTGTCGATGATACTGTAGTTGGCGTATATGCATTTCTTGCCGATCTCGAAAACAAATGGATACTTCGAGTACTCATACCAAACGCCCATGTACTGAAAAAGGCGGAGATCAATTTCATTTCCTCCCAAGAAATATTATTATGGCACGCAGAATGAAAGTGTTTTTACAATCAACAAGTTTGCTAATCAAGAAGCCCTTGGACCCTCTTCAAGGGTTCTAGAAAACACTCTGTGCTTCGCATAACGATAAGACAAGAAGAAATTCGCTAATTAAATTTGATTTTTTTAGTTATAAAGTGTTTACCCACAAACATGAACTTTTTGATAAGAGCAGCTGATTAAAAACTTTCCTCGTCTGTACGATTTTCTTGTTTATATTCTAGAAAATACGCTGCTCTTTATTATTTACCCTCATACCCAAACTTTCCGATAAAGAAGTTACTTGTTCGTATATATATTCTAGAAAATATTTTGCATTTTACTTACGAACATGAACTATTGATAAGTAATTGATTACAAAATTTTCTGCGTCTATAAGATACTGAACTTCTTGATATAGAGTAACTTATTACCAAAGATTCCTCATCTCTAATATATTTTTAAAATAAAAATATTAAAATTAATAGTTATGGTTTTTTAAAGTGGACATATTAAAGTAATTATTATGTTAAACAAACCCTCTTTTAATAAAGCAATGTCATGGTGATGAGGAACTCCTATATTACTCATTCTTTTCCCAGATAAGAGTTTCATTCAAAACGGCCTTGTTGGATTGTTTTGGAATGTGTTTAATCGCTTAAAGAGCCTACTTACCGCCTCCGCATCGAAAGTGTCCAAGACCGTAACATTGGGGCACTTGCCTGGGAGTGCGACTTGACCACTTGCTAGCCAAAATCCATTTGCCGCCATCAAGATAAGCAGCACCAGGTGTGAGCTGTCAAGATAATAAAACTTAAATAACCATTCAGATTTTTTGGAGTGGCGCGCGTACCTCGTCTGGTGATTCATCGTGGAATAGAACCAAGTGATATAATATCTCGCCTCTAAACTTAATTTCTGTCGTATCTCTGACTTACAACTGAGGTTCTGCTGCAGTGCGATTGTATCTTATATACGAGTGCCGAGAGAGCTTTGTTTTGGCTAACGAGCTTTATTTTAGTGCGCCGACGCCGATTGCCAATGTCAACAAAAGTGAAATGCAAACGATCTGGATGAAAGTGATTATGGGGAGCGGGGCTCCAAAATACTGGACTGCCACTGCTCTCGTTACAGCCACTAAGCACATATAGAAAACGAATATAGATATAGATTGCATTGTATACATCATGTTCGTATGCACAATGCGATGATTCCATATTGATAAGGGCTTCCGCATTCTAATCAGATCGTTGCGTGAGTTAGTTCAACGTCCTGAGAATGGCAATCTAAAGTATTGTGGTGAATAACTAATTAAGATATGACAGTTCAAGCGCATTATTCATAGCAACAAAAGCGTATAAATGTTAATCATACTTGATTAAAAATGATTAAGACTACGTTTCTAGACTTTTTAAATTTATTTCTTGACATGAATTGGTCAAAACAACATTAACTTATCAGGACTGTTTGTCTACCATTCCAGAAGTTTAATTGAAATAATTTCTCAAGGCATTATCATCAAAAAAAGTAGCTTTTCCCTCATATTTGTTAATTAAACATCTGAACTTATTTTCATTTGCTTTTATTCATCGTAATAACAACATTTTAAAAATTACACATTTAACAACATTTTACTAACGATTTAGGAACACAATAACAAATTTACAAAATTTATAAAAGTGTTTTCGAGACGCCTTTAAAAGCTTTCTAAGGCTTTGTGTTTGTCCTAAGATTGGGAGCACTCATTTTGGGTAGTATCAACCAGGTAGGACAGAGACACCTTGTTTTCTTCCAAGATCTTCTTAGCCGCCTCAATGGTCTTCGCAGAAGGTTCACGCTCACGAGTCAGGATCCAAGCGAATTCTGGAATTGGAAAGTAAGTTATTACTCCGTCAATTTAGTTGTCACTAAAATACTTACTGGAGTTGAGCAATGGCGAAAATTCGATGCAGTTGTAGACAACAGAGTATGTTTTGTAATCGGTGGCCAATACCAGGTAGTTGGCCTCCGTCAAGGGCTCTAAATTTGCAGTTGTTGAATAAACAAAAATTGAATTTAATTTGCATTACACTTACGGCCGGGATAGAAAGCAACTGCCAATTGACCGGGTCCGATTACCTTGGCCTCTCCGGTGATGTTCTTGGGTTCTCCAGAGCTGTTTGGATTCGGTTTTTTAGTTGGAATAATAGTTATTTTTCCAGTTACTCACATTTCATTGATTCCAGCATTGAAAACCGAAACGGTGTTGGCATCGACGATACTGTAGGTGGCGGTGGTGCACTTCTGGCCAAACTCAAAGACAAATGGATACTTGGCGTACTCATACCAGAGGCCCATGTACTGAAATGGTAAGAGATCGGTTTCTAAGATAGTTCCAATAATACATCATCACTAAGTCACAAGTTTGTACCTAATCAATAAGTTTTGTAATCAAAAACTTAGAAGGGAATATTTGTCGTTTCTTTAAATGGAGATAAGATATACAACATTCCGAAAAATGTATTTTATGTTCTAGAAAATTCCCTAAGCATTAAAAAAATATTTAATGGCTGTTCAAAAATATTTGATATGTGTTTTGAAGCTTTTTAAACTTGGAATTGTTTTAGAATTATTTTCTGCCATGGAGTTGATATTCTAAAGTAATCACTTACCGCCTCGGCATCGAAGGACTCCACTATTTTGACTTCGGGGCACTTGCCGGGAAATGGAACTTGGGCATTTCCAAGGAAAATGGCACTAGCCGCCACCAAGACGAAAAGACACAAGTGCGAACTGCCAAAATAATAAAATTGTAAATAAATAGTTTAACTTAGATATATATCAATAACGTGGCTCGTACTTTGACCGGTGATTCATTTTGGATAGAACCGAGTGGTTAATTGCTCTTAACTGAACTTTACTTCTGCTGTGTTTCTGGCTTAGAACTGTGGTTTGACCGCGAACTGTTGCTTATTTATATGCGAAGGGGGAGCTTTGTTTTGGCCAACGAGCTTTTTTTCTAGTGCGTCGATGCTGATTACCAATGGAAAGAATAGTGAAAGGCGGACGATCTGGATAATGCTTCGTTATCAGACACTCGTTACAATCTGCAAAACAAAGGTGAAGACCCAAAAATTTTATTGAGCACTAGCCCTCCTCATGGTGTTTGAAGGGTACAAGTAAATGGTTCAAGGTAACTTAAAATAAAAACTTAAAAAAATTTTTAAGTTTTTATAGTAGTGGCATGGTTTTCGGGGTTAAGTTTCGGAATCAGAGAGTGAGAGTGAGAGTAACAAAATATTGGTCACTCCTAAAAATATTTTAAAATTAAAATTTTTAAAAATTTAAAATTGTTGACCGTTTTATTCTTTGCGTGGATTTTTACGCATAATAAATGGTTTTAAATAACATCCACTAAAGAAAAAGCTTTTGGCTCCCTGTGGATTGTATTTGTGGCGCCATCTATTCACATTGCTACTCGCGCCATCTGTCGAACGCTTTGCATTTCGTATAATAAAACCAATTGAAATTTATGTTAATTTGATTTTATTTCAATAAGTGTTTTCACAAATTTGCCTTCTTTTAAAACAAAATCATTTGGAATGCTTTACTGTTTTATTTGTTACTGTTACCCTTGTCTCAACCTGTATCTCCTGCTCAATCTGGTCAGGAAAATGGTTGACAGTGGCGAGGTTTCTGCGGTTTTGCTTATCTTTTTTCTGGCGAGAGAACGAGGAATTACATTTCCCTATATATTATTAAATTAATTAAATGTAAACCACAAATTGAGTTAAATGTGCAAAAATGTCCGCAGGGCGACTGCTGAAGCATCTGTGTGAAGGAAGGATTTCGGGGAAATTAAGGGTTTTCCAGGTGATATATGTTTCGGGAAGAGTGGAGATTGGTAAGTTGAAAAGATATCTACAGATCTACCAATTAAAATAAAAGTATTTTATGTAATAAATTATAATAATAATAATTGCTTTTTCCTTTTTGTTTTATATAGTTTCTTCAAATAGTTTTGAGTGATAAATTTAAGCCCACCCTCGTTTCAACTCATATTTTTATCCATATGTGGCTGGCGCAGATTTTGAATGGCCAGCCAACTATTTGGGAAGGGGACTTTATAGCGCACTTCCCCATGAAAGGAGTGTGCTCGTCCCATTTGGATGGATGGATGGGCTCTGCTTGGATTTGCTGTGGCTGCCACTGTTTGTTGCAGGCAGCGTGTAGTAATTAAATTTAAAATATGTACACATTTGCCGGACATCTGAGCTTAAAAACAGGTGCAATCCTTGAGCGTTGGCCCCGGAGCTTGGGGCCAGGGATAATTTGATCAAAGGCAACCATAAGCCTGCAGCGAAGAGTGGACAGATGAGAGCCCGAGTCGGCTGGTTATTACAGGCCATAAGTGCAGTTTTCTGGATATATCCATAGCCGCAGGCAGGGGCGTAACTTGGGAAACTTTTCGAAGGGGTCAACTACTTAAAGCTATCTTCCTTAAGGGTATTTAATGCAATTTATAATTAAGTGTTTTTAAAAGTTTTTAAATGTTTAATATGCCCTGCAATCGGTCCCCATTGGAAGCTGTCACTGTGGTTAAAACTGCATTGACAAATGGAGATGACAGCGTGTTGAAATGGCATCTGAGGAATTTACCCAACTACCAAAAATTTCAGAAATGAATCCTTATTAAAACATGAAATACCACCTTAAATAATCAGAAACGGATAGAAAAACTATTTATTTCATCATTAATCTCTGCAACTCACACGTGACACGTTGGCATCTCGAAAATCCCTGCCCACAATTCAATCACTTTGCCATTTTAAGTGCTCGAATATTTTGTGGTTATTCATTCGCTTTATGTGCATTTTGTTGAATGTAATTTGATTTAAACAGAGTTTTGCACGACGCATAAAAATCAGTGCAGTGCCGCAGGACACAAGCTATTTACACATATAGAGCGCGCGTGTGGCCATTTAATTAAGTGGCTACCTTTAAAGCCAGCCGCCGAAATTGAATTAATTTTGATTATTGTTGCAGTTCAGCCGGGGTTAAGCCATCGTTTCGGGGTTTGCGACTGCTGCAATCAACAGTTGACATAAAAAAGGAGTCCCGTTCCCCCATTCGAAGGGGGATCACACTAAACTGTCGGCCAAATAACATCCAGGCGAGGACAGCTGGAGCAGCAACATCAAGTGGGTGGAGACTCACTCCGGCGACCTTTAACCCTAGCCTGGGAGCTCTGAGAGGAGGTGGGGGAAGCTCCGCAGAATGCGTGGGAATTGCAAAACATGACGCAATTTGTGCTCGCTTTTGTTGCCTGTCCCTTTTGCATGGCGTTCTCCTAGGATATTACCAACTGCTCGTGTTCTACTCCGCACGCAATGGCCCATATATTAGGATGGCTCCGGGGGGTGGGGGGTACTTACAACGAGCCGCCATTAAACGGAGATATGGCTAGGAGATCTGCAAAAAAAAAACAGACCAACCTTAGCCTGGAAAGTACTTCAAAAGGAATAGTTGATTCGGAATTACACTTAACTAATTTTATAACATTACATGTACTTTTAAATTTCCATGTTAAATAACTTTGGTTGAATTTACTTAATGAGATTTTTGTTGCATCTTTTTAAATATAAAGTTTAATTTCCGACACACTTCAAAATGATAAATACTTAACAACAATCATTTCAATAAATTTATCTGATTATTTATATCCAACTTAACACCCACCTGATCACGTGCTAAGCCATAAAACCCAACCATTCACACAGCTATATTACAAGTTCTCGTACCTTATTTTGATGTTGCAGTCTTGGACAAATTTATTTATTTAGCACATTGTTTTTCGCATCGCTCCTTTGGGCATCAGTTGTGTTTCGACTCAAGCAAAAAAAAAACAGAGCTCGCGGAAAAGTCTGGCACACAAGAACGCTAACCTTTAGAACAATAACAATAACAACTCGTGGCAGACAACAAAGGACAGGGGAACAAACAGTGGCGGACACTGTACTTTGTTGTAAGGGGTTTTTAGAAAATATCCATTCCATAACTGCATCAATTTATTAAATTAATTTTAGATTAATATATGTTTTGCATATAGAGTTAAAAATTAACTAACTGAAGTTTTGGTTCATCATTAATTATTTTGGGTTACTTTAACCCTCAATAATCCCCTGAATCTGCCACTGGAACGAATTGCCAAGAAGGACTAGAGACTAGGGGACGAACTCTCGAAAGTATTTTGATTTGTGAAATGCTCGTAAGTATTGTCGTTTTTGGCGCTGGCGCTGGTAGCAATTTCTTAAATTTTTTATAGCGCATAACCTGTCTGGCACACATGTGCAACCCCCTCAACCCACCCAACCAACCATCCACCCACAAACGCAGTTCGCTGGAAGGCCCAAAGTCGCAGGACGAAGACGTTGGGCGCTTGTTGGCAGCGCTTATTGCATTATCCTCGGCTAGAGTCAGTCATTCCGGGATAGATGTCGGTGGGTCCGGCGGGGGGTAGCGAACTGTTCGGTAAGATATATCCGCGCCAACTGCCGCAGCTGATGCCACTTTTGGCTCGTGGCAGCCGCGAGCTGTTTGCCTGTTTGTTGTTATCCTGGTTATGACTGGAGAAAAGGAGCCAAAAGGGGAGTAGAGTTCTATTCCTTTGAGGATGTACCGAATACTCTGTACTCTCCACAGGGAGATCGACCAGACTAAAGACCTCGGGGAGATCATTTATGCTTCTTAAAATGCTTTCAAGTACATCATGGAACTAAATAAGAACTTTAAGTTAAGGAACGAAGGGGTAAACACTTATATATTTGCTATCCTAATCAATCTTATATTTTTAAATTTTGTATGCATTTCATAACATCCAATTCGCTTTTCTGAAAAGAAATGGAATTATGAAAATTGGCACGACTTCAGCTGGGCTACAATGTCATCTCCCCCACACTCTTTTAAATGCACACCTCACACTCTCCCTCCCCCCTCACTCCCCTTTTTCTCCCCCCAAAAGACTGGCGAGAAATGTTAATACCGAAAAAAGCGAACCATTTGCCGCAATGAAAATCGCGTAAATTTCATACTGATTGTAAGTGTCGCCGTTTTCTTGACGTTGCCACGAAGGCGAAAGCTAGACGGCCAGTACACAGATAATATTTTTTATTTTTATAGAAAATGTATATTTAGTTTTTCTTTAGCTTCAAAATAAACGGAAGATAGGGAAACTATGATAAACAATATTTAACTGGAGTGTGTAATCTTCACCAAGTATAATAAAAATCAAGGTTATCACTACCCAAGAGAATTTTTTTAAGTGCAAGGGGAATCTGTATGAGTTGTAGACGGAACTGCCAGAACCTTCTGTTTCCCCTCATCTCCCCGATAACTTGCCGATCCCCACCGACTTCCATTCTGAGCTCTGCTGTTGGCTGTCGCCTGCAGATTGTCAGCATTGTCACAATTGCAATTTTTAGGATGGCAAGGGATCCGCTGATTTGGTTGCCATTTCACCATTTTGCCATTTGAGCGTTTCAAACATTTTGCGGGCATTTACCATAAAGAGAAAGGCGAATCGAAATCCGGATCCGAGCCAAGAACGTCATTCGATTGCGTTAATAGCCGAGACCAAGGAGACCAATGGCAGCTGCACATCTAACGAATTGCAAAAGTTTTCTTAGCACTTTTCTCGTTTCATTCTTTGTTGTTTTTATGGTTTATGTGGTTTTTACACATGTAGTTGTCGTCTTTTGTTTGAGCAGTTGTCACTTTCATGTGGTATTTGAAAAACAATTTGACGAAGAAATTGTAATACTTATTATTAAAATACAGACTTTGTAATGAAATAAAATATGCAAACACAAAGCCACCTTAATTATTTGTAGAATTTTTTAAAAACCAAAAAGAATCTTTGAACAATTATTTATGCTTGAAATTTGTCACCTAATGCTGTTTTATTGTTTTATTGATTTTACCCACTGCTCACTTTGTATTCGATCATTTCCTAAATTCTATATTTGCTTGACTTCTGTCCAACTATGATTAAAAAATAATTTCGCAGAAATATTGAATCACGTCGCGCACTTGGCAGCTTGGCAGTCAAAGCGAACGTTTTCTCGAAGACGGATGGCGCTTTCTGATGGCCGAGAATCAAGTTTGTTTTTACGTGCCATGTAGTTGGCCCGGGAACGTGGAGGACTTGGGCTTGGGGGATGTCAAAGGTCGGTCGCAGCTGCTGCAAATGGCTGGTGCTTTGCCGAAATGAGCGAGATCCCAACCCCCCGGCCGAAACTCACTTTTGGCTATGAGAAATCGCTCGTCATTATCGACGCCTGCGAAAATCCGCCAGTTCAAACACACATACACACACCCATACATACCCACATGCGAAGGCGCCATAAATTATGCTACTTGCCATACGTATATAGACGTGTGTATATAGACATCTGGAGCTGTGAAAAATCGTGCCCCAAAAACTTTGACCCAACTCCCCGGAACTCGCAACTTATTGAAAATCACTTAGACACACATGTGACGCTCTCCAGTTCGTGAGCATGAAAATGAGACTGAGGCCGAAGGAATTTTCCGGGCCGTAATTCATGTCGTAGGGATTTGAATGCGGGCTATAAGATTGGCGGGCGGGTTAAGCCACCGGGAGCACCTAGGAAAAGTTTACAAAACGGTCACCGAATGCAGTGAGTGGGTTTGCCTGGAAAAAGGATTGCAAAATAAGCCACAGGCAGTGTCAAAAACCGGACAAACGAACAGTTGGAGACTCCGAAGGCTACTTAATAGACATGACCACCGGCTAAGACCGCCAGCATGTGACGACAAACTCATAATTTATGGCCACATCCCGGCCAGACGCCGAGTACTATCTCTTCCTGCTCGACTCCTCCTGCCGGGATCTCAGTTTCGGCCGGCATTTCGGGCCTGTCAGTGTCGTCTGTAATTGTTTTCCTAATGGAGGGGAGAGCCGGACCCCAAAAACATGACCGCACTTAAGTTGTCAGCCCAGTTATGGGCGTGGACAAATTTATGGGGCCAAGCCAGTCAGGATAATCGCCTTGGAAATGTCTGCTGGCAGCTCCTCCCCGGCATCTCTTTGTGGATTAAAATGCAGCCCTGGGTACAGGAAATCACTTGTGAAATGCAACCTTGAATTTGCAAGTTCCCGTTGTGAGTGAAGGCGATCTACACTCCAATGAAATACCTAATCTTTTTTTAAAGGCATCTTCAAATCTTTAAAACACCAAGACCGTTACTTCTTAAAAAATAAGTTTACTTTTAAGAAGTCACATTCAAGACCGTTTTACAACACTTTATAGAAAGCCATAACGACGTTATCTATGATTTTTGCATAAGTGGACTGCGGTCACTCTCGTAAACTGGCGATGCTAAGCTTTGTTCCCACAAATTTAAGAATTCAGCCTCAAAAACTTTTAAGTCCAACTTGCTATTTTGAAGGTATAAAATAGTTGTCAAAGTTCGTTTGTGTTTCAAGCTAAGCTAAATTCTTGTTGAATATTAAAGTTGATAATATTATTCTGTTAATAGTGGAAGTCATGTTTCTGGACGATTTTGGAAACCCATTGGAGGCCACTCCCGAGAATCTGCACACTTATTCTTACGAGCTGGTAAGAATGAAATAAAGTAACCAAATTGTGATAAGACATATTACTTTCTGGTTTTAGCATGGCACCAAGCTGCTGACATCGGCGGACCAGGAGTTCTATTTGCCGCCAAAGTGGCATGGCACTATTTACAGCACTGAGGAATTATTGCGCACTTACAGGAACCGGTTCAATGTGAGCAATGCTTCTCCCTAAAAAATAATAACTTTACTATTTTATTAGCCGGATCCCACACTGCTGACCTTCCACGCGATGGAGCCCTACGAGCCGGAGTTCATCTGCTGCCAGAGGAAGGTTGTGGAGCTGACCGTCTTACCGGCTGGCCAAAGCCTCTACAGCGACAAGGAGATTGTGGTCTTCCTGATCAAGCAGCCCTCCCAGGAGAAGAACCTGCTCGTCCTCAAGGAGCTGGGCACCGAGCTGAACTTCTTCCCGCAGCACCACCACTACCACGCCCGCATCATGGACGAGGGCATCGACGAGGTCTACGTGGACGACTCGATCTACAAGAGTGCCTCGCCCAGCAGCTACCAGCACCAGCGGCTCTACAACCTGATCAGGAACATCCAGCCGGGAGCCGTGCTGAGCCTCTCGGGAGCCGCCTTGCCCGACGCCCTACGCTCCGCCTGCAGGAAACCTTCCCACGGAGTCCGGCTCCACAACTAAGGAGCTCCTCCTGCCGGAAGTCACAGCCCCACAACATGCACAGTCCGGATTAATAAACTCTGCGACTGCAAAAGATTCGTCTGGGCCGCCGATTGTTTGCATATCTGATGGCGACGCATTAGTCGCAGTTGGTTGGGCCAACTGTCTGCGCTTTCCTGTCTGCCAATTGATTTGATTATATTTTAGATGATGGGGAGTAGATTACCAGGTATTGGGAGGGCCGCTTACTTTTTAAGTTACTTCTTGGATTTATAAGAATTAACAATTTTATTTCATCACTTTCATGGAAAGCTTTAACTGATAAAGATTCAAACAGTTTCCATATATCCCATTAAATAATATTTAGTGGGTGTGGACCACCATCAAGTACAATCTCCTTGCCGCATCCCCTTGCCAATAAATATATCTCTGGTCTATGCAAAGCGTTCCTTGGCATAAACTTTTAAGTCGGCCCCACTTCGACCCTCCAGCATCTCGCATTGGTATTCATAACAAAATGTCATATATTATATTTTGGGCGTACCAATGGCCAAATCCCTTTGGGCAACGCACTGCGTGACATCTTTGTTTGTGGTCTGACCTCCTGCACGGCCAAAAAATAATCCCCCTCCCTTCCTTGGGACCTTGGTCCCCAAATTCCCTTCTTTTAGGATCCCTGAGCCTTCGGCTATTCGATGGCTTTGCAATCGCTTTACTCTTTTGTTTTGTGCCTGGAATATCTAATGGATGCGTGCAACTAATTGAGTTGAGTTGAGTTGCCTGCAAAAGGAGCCGGCTCTCGTTCTTGAATTTGCAAATCCTTTTTCCTGGGATAAATCGTTTTGTTGTTGGGTGAGCATTCTGTGAGGTCTTAGTACTTAATGAAGCGGATGTGAGGACTTGGAGAAGGCACAAACAAATTTTACGCAAATCAAAAAGTTAAGCATTCCAGGGAAAAAGTTTACAGCGAGAGTTGGCTGAGAAATTCTGTGAAAAAAAAGGAAAGTAAATTTGTAAAAATAGTTTAAAAAAATCTTGTTATATAAGGAACAATAAATTGAGTTTTCTAAAGCTTGACTTTGACAAACTTGTCAATCTGCCTCTTTCGAAGCACACAAATCGAAGTCGAATGCTTAGTTTTTGTGGGGAAATAGTTGTCAATGCTCTTGAAGGTTTACCCAATTCACTTGGAATTCCTTTTTTTTTGCCAGCAAAGCAACCTGTTACCTCGCACCTGTTCAATAATTGATGTAAATCTGTCACCACTGTGAAGTGCCACACTCGTTGCCATTCCAATTTCCCCGGCTGGTGTTGAGTACCTTGTTGATCCCTTTTATTCCTGCTGCCGTTGTTGTTTCAAACCTGCAACTTGTTCACAACTTTTGATGGCACTTGCCGAAGAAAAAAGCGACACCATGGAAACTTCACAGCTGCTGGCAGCGGGAGTGGGGGATTTCCCCGGCAACCGAGGACTCCGGAATGCAGAAGCCTATGGACAGGCTGAAACTTATGTATAAGCTCCTGGGGAATGATAAATAGCCGGGCTCAAGTGGCCACCCTGGCAAAGAGAGCGGAGCGACCTGCAGGCCAAGCGGGCTTCTCACCTTTTAGCCTTATGCAAAAGGCAAGGACTCGCCCCGAATCCTGGAGAAAAAGAAGCGGAAGGGCTGCCAGGATAAGCCCGAAAAAGTAATGAAAATGAGATGAAAATTATTGCAACGTAAATCAGGCGCTCCAGAGGCGCCCAGCTGGGAATATCCTGCGAGAGTCTGGCTCTTGGCTATCCAACTCCCTCCTGCGATTATCCCCCCATCCCAGCATCCTGGCATCCTGGCTAAACGTTTTCCACTGCTTAATTTGGCTTTCATTGCTTCGGTTCGTTTCTCGCCGGCTTTTCCCTCCGTTTTCCGATTTCGGTGCGGCCTGACATGAATTATTTAACGATCTCCAGCTGCGTTGATGCGATTCTCGCCAAGGATGCCTCTAAATTAAAGCCATAACAAGCTTAATGCAAAGACAACCGCAAAAGAGAGAGGCTGCCAGGGAAAAAATCCTTCATTTGGGGCAACAATGTGTGGGTCAGAACAATAAGCGATTCCATTTCCCCTCGGGATTCCCTTTCGCAACATGCAAGGACTTAACTCTTTGTGCCGACGTCGACTTTCCAATTTCAAGTGAAAAATCCCGCGAATGAACATGTAAACAACACACTAGGTGGACCAATGAAAGGCGGAAAAAGGCCAAAACGGCAGCCAAGGGGGATGGTCAGGAAAAACAAAAGAAAAGCCACGAAATGCAAGAAAAATCAACCAAGAGTGATTGCGGTTGCGGTGGTTGTATGCGAACAAATATTTAATATTTATTTAAAAATATTTGAATGCATTTTATTATCTAACAGAAAGTATCGTTAAAATGTTTGATCAAAATGATTTTGTTTTATTTACTACTACATATTTATTCTCAATTTTCCTTTGAACAATTTCAGTAGGTATCTTAAAAATTCAGTTTATTTAATTTCATAGTTCGAGTTTTTCTCTCTGTTTCGATATTCCCTTTTAAGCTGGAAAAAAAAAACTTTCCTTGGTGTGATTCAGGGCTAAAACCCAAATGAAAACTCCTCTGCGGGAGGTCGAGTATAGTTCGCATCCGAATCTGTGAACTGCAAACTGCAATGGCCAAAATGTATCTGTATCTGCAGTGCCAATGTGTCTGCGTGGTCCAGTGTGTGTGTGTGTGTGTGTGTGTTTGTGTGCGAAACAGTTTGCAACAAACTCGTGCGTTTTCGGGACGAAAAATCCTAAAACCAAATAGAATGCGCTCTGCAGTTGAACCCACTTGAAATATATATTTTTGGCAATGAAAGTAACCCCCACAACGCGGCAAAAGAGTCCAAAAAACTTGTTATAATAAATGGAATGAAGCGCCAACGCGTTGAGCTGCAAGAGAATGTTGCAACGGCGGCGTGGCAGCAACAAAATGCAGCCAGAGCATCCTTCCAGATAATCCCTGGGAAATTTGTCTAACTTCCACACCCACTAAGGCTGATGAATGACGCCGCTGCTGTGCAAATTATAATAGCAATTTGCATTATGTGGGTGGTCCGCCCTCTGCCCCCTCAACCCCCCAACCACCCAACCCCTTAACCCCCGAATGCCCCCACTTTTATGGGGCAGATTAAGCGGGGAACATTGTTACCAGCTGCGTGGCGAATGAAATTTTAGATTGCCAAGTTAGTTACGGCGGTGAAGTGGGCAAATGCATTCAGCTGCCGGTGGGTTAATCACTGGGAAATTCTCGGAGATTTGTAAAGTGGAAATGTTAATGGCTTTCAGGTAATTTAGTTTTAACAATACACTTTTAATTATTTATTTTTGCAGTAATTAGTTTCAGCACACAGAAATGCATTAAGTGATTATTCCAATCCGATTTAAGAGCCCAAACCCACTTAATATATATCCTCTTTCATCTGTTCCAAAAATGATTGTAGATTCCCTTTTCTTGCAGCCCTGCTGACATCATCCAGTCAGAATAAATACCCCATAAAAATATACTCACATTCTAACAATCATCTAATTGAAATTGAGACGAGATCAACCGTACTAACCCACGCCGCGCTAAAACCCAAATCCATTCAATACTAGACTTCGGAACCAATTCCACCCCGTGCAGAAATAATTGCAAATACATAAAAAAGTTGATGGCGGATTGTGTGTGCTCGGCGGGCTTTAAAGCGTAATAAATTTTGAATGCGCCATTAGCATGATTTATGCCCATTTAATTTTTCATAACAATGAAAAAAGCACAACAGCAACTCGGCGACACGGGATGACAAACAGGAGAGGCCGGCATTAGCAGGACAATGGGCCAGGATGGCAGTATGGCAGGAAGTTTCGAAGGGAACTGCTCTCATCATAAACAAGAGTGCATAAAAAAGTCCGCGAATGAGGCGACAAGCGGCAACATAATTGAATAGTAAAGCGTTGCACTGAAATTAACCACCACAAAATGACGCAAATAAGGACAAAAGGGAGGGTGCCTGGTCACTACCATGTTCGGACGATTAAATTTCATTGAAATTGAATTACATTAAACAAAAAAAAAAAGTAAAAAGGGAAAATAAAGAAGCCGAGGAGCAAAGTGCAAAAGGCAAACGTTTCATTCGGCGGGTCCTGCAGGACAATAGTGCACAAATTAACTTACAAAGGCTAAATAAAAATTGCCAACGCGGCAGTCAACGTGTTGTGTGAATGGCTGACTTTGGCTGGATGGCTGGTTGGGTGGCTATATCCCGACTGGACGCATTTCCTTTCATCCGCCGGCCATCTGGCTTAATTCCAGCCGGCCTTCCGCTCCTCTGCAGTTTATACGGCTTTGGGCTTGTTTATGCCAAGTTCTTATCGCGCTCATTGTCATCCCACCGAGTCAGCCGAGCCGAGCAAACAAAATAAGCAGCCCGAAAACGAGTTGCTTATAAAGTAATTTGCGGATTTATTAAAAGTTTTCAGCGCCTTCAGACGCAGTCTTCTCGGGAAAAGCCGGCGAACGCTGCTGGAAAAGGCTGCTTTTCTTTCGCTCCCAGAGACTGCGGCCAATTAGTTTGCCTAATTCTTGAGGTGAAACGCAAAACGCTTTAATTGAATTCTGCGGTCGTGGTTCAAGGAGCATACAAGCAGTTCAGGGATGTTTAATCAGTTGAATAAGTTAGTTGTTCGGTTACAAAAGAGGTAACCAAAAAACGAGAGTGAGTATTCACATCACGAACAATATATATTCTTTATTATTCCATAACTTACTTCTTGGTTTATGATTTAAATAATATCCCAGCAGATGTTACTTTTTTTCTGGGCGGGTTCAGTGGCGGATCTAGGGGGGCGAAAGGGGCAAGTGCCCCGGGCGCCAAATCTAAGGGGCGCAAAATCGTATTTGAATTACACTGTATGTTTCGAAAAATCATGTTCATCTAACAAAATAATAATAACAAGAAGGAAGCTAGCTTCGGCAAGCCGAAGCTTATATACCCTTGCAGTCATCAAATATGCCGATAAAAATGCATAAACGCTAAACATCATCGAAGCTATGACGATTTTTCTATAAAT